CGTCTGGCCGTCCATGAATAAAGATGTTCGTATGTGGGCTAAGCAATGCTTACAATGTCAACGATCAAAAGTGCACAGGCACGTAGCCGCCCCCCTCGGTACATTCGCTACGCCTGATGCTCGTTTCGATCACGTTCACTTGGACATTGTAGGACCACTGCCACCATCGCACGGGTATGATCACATACTCACGTGCATCGACCGCTTCACCAGATGGCCCGAAGCTATACCCATCACGTCTATCACGGCGGAGACAGTTGCTCACCGCTTCGTAGAACGATGGATAGCTCTATATGGTTGTCCCTCGACCGTCACGACTGACCGAGGACAACAATTTGAGTCCGCACTATTCTCTTCACTTACTCGGCTGCTTGGTACGGAACGAATACGCACTACCGCCTACCATCCAGCTTCAAACGGTTTAGTTGAAAGGTTTCACCGGCAACTTAAAAGTGCTCTTCGAGCACACGAAAACGACGACTGGTACGAAACCTTACCGCTCGTTCTTTTAGGTATCAGAACGAGTTTAAAGGCAGATATCCAATGTTCCGCCGCTGAACTTGTATACGGCACGACATTGCGTCTGCCCGGAGAATTCTTCACACCACGGAGCAGACCTAATTTCGCTAAATCAGACTACGTCCAACGACTGTCTGCATTTATGCGAACGCTGCCTCCGGTGTCAACTCGAATACAACATCGACAGGTCGCTCTCCCTCGAGAGTTATCTACCTGTTCACATGTTTTTGTACGAGTAGATTCGGTACGCAAACCTTTACAACAACCTTACGAAGGCCCTTTTCGCGTGATCGCTCGTCACGAAAAGACCTTCAAGGTTGATCGACACGGCCGCGTCGAGATCGTCAGCATTGATCGTCTCAAACCAGCACACGTCGATGACAGTGCCCTATCTGACAACCTGAGATTCAATGCTAGACCTAGCAAACCTACTAGCGGGATCCTCAAATCATCTACAGGTCCCACGCTAGATACATCTGAGACCTCATTCTCACGTCCCAGTCAACAGCACGCGTCATCTGCACCGTCTACGGACGAGACGACAGTCTCACGTCCAGATCAGCAGACCACGCCGCCCTTGACTTCGGATGAGATTGCAGGCTCACGCGACGCGAACGAGACTGCCGTCTCACGTTCCGGTCGCCGAGTACGGTTACCCGTACGCTTCCGCGAATAGTCGCACAGTCAACTACCGATACGGTGTAGGATTATTCCTATACTACACGTATGCTACACTCTTCTTTTTTTTTGATTTTCTTTTTGTTTCCTGAGCCCACGCCTTCGACCATCTCCGTTTGGTTCCGTCGACTTCAGTCAACTTTGGCGAAAGCTGGATTGGCCACCCACGCTCTTGTCAACGTACTCAGTCGATATATTGGTTTCGAACGCTTGGCACACGCTTGGTCACGAACTTGGTCGTAACGGTCGCTTCTGGTCTTTCGGCTCAACGTGGTTTCGTCCTACGTCTGCGGCGTTTCTGGTGCGCACCTCTACGAACGCCCTCTTCAGATTCTGGATACAAACCACTCTGGTGTAGCATGCCAACTCAAGCAATAAATACAACACATCGCTCCTGGTACCGTTCTCCGATAACGACCTTCGTTGGCAACTCGACGATCAACGATCGCTTTCCTGTTCGCCAATTCTTCCGTCCTACAATCGCTCATCAGCCGAGCAGTCCCACGATTCAAACCGCTATTTATCGAAAGTGTAAACCCTTTCTAGCGGGGGGCTCCTGTAGTGACTCACGTTTATCACGAGAACACGACTGGTTTAATAAAAACAATTATTATTACAACCAACTGTACCAGTGTTTGTTTTAATGTGCTTTTGTTTGACTGTGCTAATTATAGCCATTTTGTGCTTCCATTACCTTCCATCATTGTTCCGCGGTTTTTGGTACTGTTCGCACGTACTCCTGTCTTCTGCTTTCGCTTGTACCTTCTCTTGGCACGATCTCGGTATTCGTTCAATACCACGAGATCGCCAACGAAATAAATCTGGTTACGTTCAATCCTCGCCTTCTGATTTATCTGGCACGTGTTTCTTGGTAGCGGTGTTCACAGTTGATCTCAACTCGACGCCACGCTACAAACACCACTACAAAGGAACGCCTGCCAGGATATCCATAAAATCCCCCGGAAGCCAAATATGGGAAGGCAGTTAATGGACCAAGTCGAGATATATTTGCTGGCGATCTCGTGGTATCGAAAGAATACCGAGATCGTTCCAGGATATGCTTAGTCTATTTCTCATTTGCCTATTTAATGAAATTATGTAACTAGATATAAGTTTATTGTTGCGTTGGAGACTAATAGTTGTATTTGTTTTAGCCTTTTCAATATTGGCAATGGTGTTATATAAATGATTATACAGTCGTAAATTCTTCCTCTTGTCTATACAATGAATGTACTGGGATATTTCGAAAAAAGTTAATCATATTTACTGTCTACTTGTATCAATTATTGGCTTGGTAATCAATCTCAAAAATGTATATTCTGAATTAAAGGACATAATTCCGAAAAACCTCATATACTAACATCATTATGAAGTACCATTAGGAGTTGTAGAACATTAAACATTGGTTTCAATCTAACATTAGACTTATCGGCAGTATATACATCCATGATCCAACTAAATAATAAACCTTGATCTTGTGAAAAGTAGATTACCTTAAAATCTTTCATTAAAAGTATACAGTGTACAGTTTATAATCTACACTGTTTAGTAGTTTAGGATAATGACCATTTAAAGTCAATGATAATGACCATCTCAATTTAAACATAATTGAACTATATCGACCATAACATTCCGATTCATTTGAATCTATAATGAATATCAATCAAGCTATGATTATTATTAGTGAGGTTGATAGAACAATATGAGAAGGGTGTTTTTTGTGGATATTATAGTAATTTAATAGCTTGATCACAATGGAAAATCTGGAAGCACTGAACAACCGTTTCGTTCTATTGTAGGACTACCTCAACAGTGCTCATCCACCATCCCTTCCCACAAGATTCGAACTTAAGACCTACCGATCTGGTGCGCGAATACTTAACCTCTAGACCATTGAAATGACCGGTATCCAGCGGTATCACCTAATCCATAACATTGGGCGATACATTCACCTTTGTCATCAGTGAGTTACTATCTTACAACAGACCTAGTTGAACTCTACTGGTCACCACTCGAAGCTAGTAATGAGTATATATGGATTCATATCAGAAGGATTGTTTTGTTGTTGTTGTTGTGGATATATTTGTACAAAATTAAAATTGATTTTTAGCTAAAGCAGTTTTAACTTAAGCAAAAAAAAAGAAAAATGAAGAAGAACATAATGTTTTGTTTTGTTTTTAAGTACATAGATACGTATTATATCTCATGCTTGATAAAGTTCATTTATAGTTTAAGTCTTTCAGCTTTCATGTTATTGATTGCGTGTGTATATATGTGTGCGCGCGTGCACGTGCGTGTGTATCAGTTTGTGTATGTATCTGTGTATGTGAATGACAAAACGAACGAAAGAGAGAGAGAACAGTATGAATGCTTTATAAATAAATAAGTAGTCAAAAGGCATTTTGATAAATATTTGTTCATTTAAACCAATAACCCAAAAGGTAGAGATTAAACATATATATATATATATATATATATATATATATATATATATATATATATATATATATATATATAACTATTACTTAAGCAACACGTATCTATCTATATATATATATATAGTCTTGAGAGAAACGATTTATAGGCTTCTATATAACATCATTACGTAATTGAACTCATTATTTCCCATTGAAATTAACAAACATATATATCAATCAAGTTCATTTATAGAATAAACTATTCATTTTAATAAATATTTATCATTTAGAAAGAAAAATGAAACAAGAGAAAAGAAAAAAAGCAAAAGAAAAAGAAAAAAAAAGAAAGTAACCTGTAAAATAAATAAAAGTTTTAAAAAGCCCGGTTCTTTTTTTGTTTTTTTTTAAAAACAGTAAACTAACGCTACTCAAGGTCAACTGAATACATTTAAACAAACAGACGAACAATCGTCATTATTTATGTTAAATAAGAAAGATTGAATATTGAACACGCCATGTTTTGTTTTATTTGTTTTTCAAAATATAATTTCAATTAAACATAGACGAATTCAAGTTGGAAACGATTATTTGTAAACAAGTAAATAAATAAATAAATAAACAAATAAATAAATCGATAATTGAATAATTAGAAGCAGATATATAGAATAAATAGTATAGTATTGTATATAAGTAGTATAGTTAGTAGTAGTAGTAGTGGTATTGTTAACAGTATCGTCGGAAGTCGTAGTAGTAGTAGTAGTAGTAGTAGTGGTGGTGGTGGTGGTTGTGATGCTGGTAGTTTAAAAATGAAACAGATCAACATTGATTGTATCATGTATATATATAGATGTGTGTGTGTGTGTTTGTTATAAATGTGAAAGTAAGAAAAAAGTTTAGAAAAAAAACTCGAAAATGTTTTCTCTTTTCTTTTTTTTTAAAAAATTTTCTTTTAAAAAAACACAAAAAATCCATTCGAAATCATCAAATGATTCATTATGAATTGAATTTAGTTAAAATAAAGAAAAGCCAATCAACGAAAGTGGCAAAAGAAATAAAGAGAAAAAAAAAGAAAAAAAGAGAAATATCATTCATGAATAAATTGTGAAAACATCATCTCAATGGATTCCTTCATTTATTCATTCCCCCCCCCTCAACAACAGTATCATTATCAATAAGATGAAATGATGATCCAGATTGTTTTCAGTGTTAAATAGAATGAAATGATCAATTAAAAAACAAACAAACAAACAATTCATATTAGGTGAAAGGAACTTTATTGAGAATGATTGAAATAGAAGATCCTTCATGAACATACATATATGTATATATATAGAACTATATAGAACATATATATTCATTTTTAAATATTAAAGAAATATCATTCAATTAATCCCTTAAACCAGGAAAGATAGAATTAATAAAACGTACTAATTGAATAGCTGAATGATTATGATCAATTTCACAAAATACATAAACTACATTATCATGTAACCAGAAACGTTGTTTACGTGCAACTAATGCAAATATTCTATAATGTAAATAACAAAAAACAACAACAACAAAACAGAAGATCAGAACAAATAAATAAACAGACAAATGTAGTTAATAGACAACTTGTCAATTGTGTATATCTATCATCCTATATGCAAGCGGGACTCGAACTTAGGACATATTGACTTTCACTTAGATTGTATATGAGGATTATTCATGAAATATAGATCTTGACTACTCTTGTATTGAATCATTGAAATTAAATAAGTCAACGATGAGAAGAATGGATTTTATACAATCCTTGACGTACATAGATGATTAGAGAAACGTGATCAAACAAGATGACGCTTAGTGGAGAAGTTAAGTGAGCCAATTTTGTTGAATCAAGCGTTACTCAATACTTATAGATGATCATAGAATAATTGACAAGCTTAAAATCTGGCTTGAGAAGAATGAATAAATTGGCCTGTCCAATGATTACACTAATTTATATCGAATTGATATAATGCTAACCACTACAACTTGTTTCTTTTATTATTCTCAACTTTTTACTACAATGCACATGTATACACAACATAGTTAACCGATTTAATTATAAGGCTTTCGTCATCATTCATGAAAACTTCATCATATGAAATGGGTTTCCTATTTAACATTCATAAGATTCATAATAATTTTAATGAAATGTTAGTGTTACATTACTAATATAATTCAATTTAAGCATCATAAACATTCTAATTGAGTATTTTTTTATTTAGAAGAAGCCATTGTTTATAGTTGGTGGTAACAATTAATAACAGTGGAAACCAGTTTGACGCGCGTTTCGTTCTAATTGCGACTCATCAAATGAACTAATTCTTTCTTCCTGTACTACATCCTTATTGCAATCTTTCTTTTATATATGGCCACCTCTGAATTAACCACTTTTATGAATCCGGTGTCCATCTTGTTTTGTTAATGAAGTATGGCAACTTGGACCGATGCATAAATGTGCCTGGTCCTACGTTGTAGCCGACTGACTGAGTGAATGTGAATAGTTGAGTTCATAGGTTGATCTAAGCTAGAATACCATTAGACAACCATTTTGTCCTAGGATAGAAATTCTCAACAATGTGTGTCCGCAATCTCTTATACAGGACTCGAATCCAGGATCTTCGGTCTCACATGTGAACGCCTAACTTCTAAACCACTGAGCCAGTATTTAACACTATTTATGTGGAACTTCAATTCATCTATAATCTTGTGCAACCTTTTTTCCATTATCTGAGGTAGATAACTAACTCACACCTGACACGGATTAAACTCCACCACTCATGTCTTCTTCTTAGAACTCCAAAGAAATCCATCTTGAAGCCAACCACTAATGAACACATGATTATTATCCGAATAGAGATCTCCATATATTCCTATTCTTATAATTTGTTATTTATTTTTATATGATCTAACTTATTGAGAGATCAATTAAAATGAACAAGGTCTAACGTAATAAGTATGATTTGTTCTAAGTCTATACGCAGTTGTAGAAGTCGACTTGAATATTACATCAGTCTTATGATGTAATTAAAAATATGTAATTAACAATATTATTTCACGTATAGAGTTACGTAATGTCTGTATAAATAATAAGTTATCCGTTTAGTGGTTGTGGAGATTATTAAGCTTTTGATTGAAATCATGAATCGATTGATCTCGCGAGCGGGATCGTGGATACGCACAATAAGACGAAACGACCGTCCAGTGCTTCCAGGTTTTCAGTGGTGGTCTAACATCAATCGGTTGATGATTTCAATAAAAAAATAATAAATTACTGTGATAAACATTAACTGGTATATGATTTCAAGTCAAACTTAATGTAATAACCGTATTACATAATACTAATGATTATTCTACCTACAAGTATTATAATAAGACGAAATGAAATGTTTAGTCGTTTCTTATTTTCATTGTTTGTTTAATCAAAGTTAGTCCATGATTTTTATTTATTTGGTGCAAAATGGTGACACACAAGTCACTTGATTTGTCTGTGGACTCTGATACTGCCTGGGTGCCCGAATCAAGGCAGGTGGTTTTCTTAGGGGATCACTCACCGAGCCTCTGATCTAAAGGTCTAATCCACAAGGCAATGGAGAAACATTAAGAGATACAATCCCATGGTAGCCAGTAACCGACAATAGGTCCATATACCATTTGTTCCTTCATGATTCTGAAGCTCATGTACATGACTGGTTTGGAATGAGGGTTATCCAACTCCCCTAGGTGGACTCTCTGTGCTTACCAACTTGGTTACAGCTCCGGCCATTTGGTTTTCGTTCTCTCAATTTCGTAAATAACACTTACAACTCGAGAAGGCACTGAGTAGGACTTCCCTGGTACTCGTTGTATAAGCGAGGCCATGTGAGAGTATAGCATTTAGAGTCTGTCCATGATCTAGACTGTCATATTCAACGGTCTCCACAAAAGTCGCTGGTAACATCTACCATTTATTTTGATTTTAAAAACAAATTCAATATTTAGTGAATGATTATTAGCCATATTTTATAAGTAAACAGATTAATTATGAAAAAAATGACTTACTTTGAACCATACATTCCTTTAGATCGTAATTCCGCATCATTAAATCTATAAGCAAAATTCATAGAAGTAAAATACAATTAAAAGTAGTATATTAAACAATATTAGTCAGTCCACTTTAGAGGGCTAATTTTGATGATGATGATAATAATAATGACACAACATAGGCTTATTCGTCAGTATAGAGTTGGGGATATTGTTGAGTTTAGATTGATATCATGAATAGATCAATGTTAGACGATCGTTAAAAGCTTGGAAGCACTTGACGGTGGAATGCAATCCATGTCGGATGTGAGACAGCTATCCACCTCAGACAATAGGTGAAGAAGTGTGCAAGATCATAAATCGATTGAAATTAGATATTAACACAATGGGATGTCAATTCAGTGGTCTAGAGGTTAAGCGTTCACAAGCGAGATCATCAATGCATACTGCTGAACAATTCCATACTAGGACCAGATGACTGTCTAGCGCTTTTAAGTTTTCAATGATGTTCTAACATGGATCCATTTATAAACTTATTCTATAGTAATTTCAACTATAACAAGTGACATTATTAGAGCTTCATGCTTATATCACTGAAAAAGAATACGCTAGTTATGATAAGATTGTTATTTGAAAGTGAGTAAGTAAGTAATGTAATTCATCAGTTTAGATAGATAATCCGAAAGACGTTTAACGTGAAAGCTATTCGGTTTAAATATTCATGTGAACTTCAACATTAAAATCTAAAAAAAGATCCAGTTGATAAGACCTAAATAGAACTAAACGTGGAGAAGATTTGTAGCTCAAGTGGACGATTTTAATAGAGTATTGTTCTTTGAGTTAGATGATTTGGTTGTGGAGCTTTCATCATTCTTCTTTTTTTTCATGCTACTAGTGTGTTGCAATCTGTTGTCGCTCTCTTGAACAAAGTTTATACACAGTTGACTTTATGAGCTTTTAGGTTGTTAATACTGTAGTTGAGATCACAATTGATTGCGTGTCTAGTCCTTATTAGTGCAGATCTAATGCTATCGACCAAGTTGCAATGTGGCCACCAGCCTAGGTGACTCGACACTGCGTGCACTATTGTGAGATTAGATGGTGGTTGGACGTACTCGACAGGAAACCCTGGACCCGGGTTTTGTGCTACTTGGCACTCGTCAGCAAGGTGTACCTGTAATCTTGAGGGAACTGGTGCTCCTTGACGGATTCGATCTCGTGTCACTTTGTATTCCACAGTTAATCATTTAACTGACTCTGATCAATTAACTTTGTAATTGATTGAGATCATGAATTGATTGATGTTAGACCACAATTGAATACCTTAAAGCATTTGACAACCGTTTCGTCTTCTTGTGGTATTCCTCAGCCGTGCGTATCGACAATGCCAATTTCAAGATCTTAAACATTTTAAGAAATAAAAACTAATTTTAGAAAACGTACTCTCGATTTTCTGGATCTAAACCACACCAAAGTAAATTATTAGGTTTAATAGTTTTTCTCCAAGCAGCACGTCGATATTTTTCCGTAAACGTAATTCCTTCATGTGGTATAACTTTAATTTGAACTTCACATCGTTTTGGTAAACCATCTGTATATGATTGTGCTAAACTTATTATTTTTCCAATTCCACGAATTGCTGCATTCATATTTTCAAGACGATCTACTTCAACAGAACCAAGATAAAGCATATCCGTACCTGAAATAATATAAAGATTTATTTGTTTTCATCTGATGAAATGTATATTCTGCTAGTTAATCTAAATGTAACTTTAGTTATGTAACATGACAAATTCAAACAAAAATATCATTTGCTAGTAACTTTCTTTGAAATAAGTTCTCAAAGTTTTATTGATAATGTGTGACTGATTGAGTTGAACTATCATTCAGAATGAGATAGAGATCATAGACAGTATTAGATAGTGGTGGAGAAGATTTGTAGCTCAGGTAGATGATTTTGATGGAGTTTCGTTCTCTGAGTTGGATGGTTTGTTCGTGGAGTTATCATCGTTCTTCTGAACAACATCATCAGCACAAACTTCAGTAATATCCAACGTGTCCATTGTACTCCGTGTTTTCCCTCAGATGTCGAGGTCTTCATAATCCAATCGAACACCAGAAGAAAGAGAACGGGGGAGAGTAACCAACTTTGTCTGGTCATAGTGCTATATTAGAAATAACATAACTATTCGATAATCTTCAGTTGTTTATTGATACCTTAATGAATGTTTATATCTGACAGAAGTCATCTTCAAATGAAACTGATTATGCAAAACATTTAAACAAATATTCACAACATATACATTTAAAGACTCAATATAACTAACAACAAAGAAATCTTACTCATTGTATTAGTAGTTGGTAATATTGTCTGTAATGAAGGTTCTAATCCATAAACTGTTTGTTCATTAATAGTAGTTCTTTGTTGATTATATAATGTTTGATTATTAAATATTGGAAGACGAAGTGTACATGGTAATGCACCTTGTTTATGAATATGATAATGAACAAATGCTGCTAAACTTGGAAATGTTGGATCACTAGAGAAACCACGTAAATGTACTCCATTCCCACGACCATCATGCATAGGAACTGTACCAATTAGAAAATGACGTACCCATTCAGATTGAATATCCTCTGTTAATTAGTAAAGAAAAATATAGGTTAGTATATAATTCCAAGTTTTAACATAGTGGTAATACCATATTAGTAATGTAGACGTTCGATTTTGTGTGTTCGGACACAATGACGATAATTCAATTAGTGTCACTATCTTGAAGCATCGACTTCAATGACTTGGACATATTCTACGAATATCATCACAGAGAATTCCATGCCGTGCATTGTTTGCCGACGCTAAGACTGGTTAGAAAAAGCGGAGATATAATCAGTGTATGACGTAGTGTCATGATATAAAAGAAAACTGTACAAGACTGGCTTCTGTTGGTCCTTCACAACTCTCTGGTTGGGGTTCTAGTGATGGTACGACACAATGACTTGAGACCTTATTATATATGGATAAATGAATCTTTTGAAGATTCTAGATCTCAGGTTATCATAAATAACTTGGTCTATGGTAATAGACTGTTGTAGGTAATTAGCAGGAAACTTTTATAACTTGTGACTTGTGTGCCCTCCTAATGTATAACGTAACGATACCACCAATTAGAGAACAATGGATTATCGACCGAACCAATGACGCATAAACCCGTACGAGTAGTCTAGGGTCATTATCCATCCTTCTACCCGTCTTGTCGAGTCCAAAACACCAATCTTAGCCTCGTTTATTTCAAACATACTGAGTTTATATATCAACCAGACAGACCACATCGTACCATAAAATAGGAGACAACATTTGTACAAGATTTAGCTAAATGTAGCTATGGATGTGGGAGATAGTAATTGATAGACAGGGCATAATTCAAGAATAGTAAATCGTATAATCATGGTTCATAGGTCAAAATAAAGCTTGTGATAAGGGGAACACGAATATGAATAGTTTAGTTATTGAACAATTATACGATAAAAATATACGCATAGTATTGGTCCATAAATGGATCCCAAATGTTACCATTCATTATTCTTATCGGAACATAACAGAAACCTTCTTTAAACTGTATTTGTCACTCTTTTTTATACACATCAGCAGTAAAGCTTATTTATAATCTTAAAGAAATGGATTCTACTTTTGAGATTCAATACCATTTTAGTTAATTTAACAGTTTGGAACTTAATTAGACACGTTCCAACTATATCTACATAGTAACATGGAGGATCTAGACTTCGCAGATGATCTGGCTCTTCCATCACACACTCAACAACAGATGCAAGAGAAGACGACCGGTTTAGCAGTAGGTCACAGCATACACAAAGGGAAAAGCAAGATTCTCCGATACAATAGAAGATGCGACAATCGAATCACAATTGATGGAGAAGATTTGGAAGATGTAAAAACCTTTACATATCTGGGGAGCATCATTGATAAACACGGTGGATCGGATGCAGATGTGAAGGCACGGATCGGCAAAGCAAGAGCAATATATCTACAACTGAAGAACATCTGGAACTCAAAACAACTGTCAACCAACACCAAGGTCAGAATTTTTAATACGATTGTCAAGACAGTTCTACTGTATGGGGTGGAAACCTGGAAGATATAATTGTTTATTAACAATTGTCTACGCTAAAATACTTCAGATGCGCTGGTCAGACAATATCAACAACAACCTACCATAAGAAAGAACAAACCAGATCCCAGCGGAAGAAGAAATCAGTAAGAATCACTGGAAGTGGACAAGGCAAGTCCTCACATGGAATCCTCAAGGCCAAAGAAAAAGAGGAAGACGAAATAACACATTACGCTGAGAAATAGAGACAGACATGAGAAGAATGAACAAGAATTGGATAGAAGTAGAAAGGTAGGCGGAAGATAGAGTGGGCTGGAGAATGCTGGTCGGCAACCCACGCTTCATTGTGAGCAACAGGTGTAAGTAAGTAAGTAAGTAATTACATAATAACATATAACATAAATAAGTTTATTATATCAAAAGAAAATGCATATATAATAAAACTGTTCACTATAGAAATGAATAACTAACCTTTATTCGATATAACTCTAGGTGAATTCGGAGGAATTTTCAATGCTAAACCAAAACTATCAGCATATGTATTACTATTACGTATAACAAAAGTTCCAGGTTCTTTATCACGTAATAATGCAATAACTAAAATAAAGTAAACAATTTTAATGTAACTAACATGTAAGTAAGATTATAATTTATGAATGAACCAATCAGAAGTGTTTTTGAGAGATTTCAAGGTCATGGCGCCAATTTCGAAACTTGATGATTACGTACAATCGGTTCATAGAGAATTTTACAGAAAATGGGATAATTGAGGGGCTATAATAAATGAGACTATTTAGAAGTTTGTTTATTTGTAATTGTGATAATCAGATGAGTTTTAGACTTTGTGTAGACTATTGTGATGATGGCCCCCAAATGCTCTGGTTCGGCCCTCACATGACCACGCGTATCTAGCATCTGTCAGGGAAGTCCTACTCATTGCCTTCTAGCACCATGAGTGTTGTTTACGAAATTGAGAGGACGAAAAGCGAATGTCCGGAGCTTTAACTGCGTTGGTGGACATGGAGAGTCTGTTAGAATAGGAACTATTTTTCTCTCAATCCAGATTGAGATCAAGGCAAATTATGACAATTGTTGCAAACTGGATAATAAAAGTATCAGTAATACTAGCTATAGCCGAGTAATACAATATATGCGGATGATCAAAGAACGTACAGATGCCTATATAGGCTTGGTTATGTGAGTCGAACAATCGAAATGCACACAAACATTATTGAAGCTATGTGGTCGAGGCTGAAGGAGTTTTCTCGACCTTATCCTAGTCATGGACTCATATGGATTACTTCTTCTACCATATGCGTTACGATTTCAGAATCTCTGAACTAATTTCTAATTTTGATAAGTTTTTGACCCATGTAAAAGAAGTATATCCATTTTAATTCTTGGGTGTTGCATAATCAATATTTACTTTACACTAACTGTTTGCTGATTGGCTAATCTTCCTCAAGGTCACTTGAGGTTCTTTCAAACGTGGTTCATCCATTATGGTCTCACCTCATTATCTTAACCAATTACCCTGTCCCTAGAAATATTCTACTTTTAAAACTAAATAGGAAAACAGGAATCTGGATGATCTTGAAGATCATTTAAAGAACTTTGACTAATCGAATTATTCATCATAGTACCTTGGATCTTGATGATAGTTTCATGAGATTAATTACAGCTTCCAATAAGTATACACATTAGTTGTAGGCTTGTTTTAAAACTGAATAGTATAAGTAACCAATTCAATACAGTTTCCTAAGTGATATGAAATAAAATTAAAGTTATATCTTGTTGTAGTGAATGAGAATACCAAGTGTTAATCGCCATGGCAACAACAAACGTATATCTAGTTACATTATTTCATTAAATAGGCAAATGCGAAATAGACTAAGCATAATGAAGGTGTCGTATATTTACAACGTCATAGATTGAAAAATACTGTAGTGAACGAGAACATCAAAGTGGGCAATCTAATGTATTTAAACACAAAATTACAGACCATCTTAGTAAAATGTGAGAACCATACACCGCAAATGATTCATTTTGCAAAATGTCAATCAATCGTCTCAGACTTGATTGTTCCTTCGTTTCCATATTTACCATTCTGTGTCCTATTTCTCTTTTGTTCGAACTACTTAACCTTCTCTACTACCAGATATTTCATATTCGATCGATGATACATACTACTGATACCTACTTTGGTATACTGATTTAAACATTATAGCTTTCTGTAACAATAATCAATTGTTTCATTCCACCAAGGTGTTGAAGAAGAGTTACACATTGTCACTAGTCCTTTTTTCAGTGATATCATTAATGAATTTCTGGAAACAGATGATGATGTTAACATGAATCTGGTACCTAACTGAAGGTTTCGATGGAGTTTTGTTCTCTGAGTTGAATGGTATAGTAGTGGAGCTTTCATTGTTTTTTTGAACGACATCATCAGCACAAACTTCGACATCTCTGCCAGAAGGAAGAATTTACAACCCTAAGTATACGAATGACATTGTCCTACAGTGGAATGATCTATAGACTATCCAATTTTTAGCTAGTCAATTAATAATCGTTATCCATTCGTGTGGTATACACTTTAGGCTTTTAAATATAAAGAATGGAAGAAAGTTATACGTTTTCCACTTTTGAATTAGACTCTAAAGAAGTATCCATTGTTAACGGTACAATATAACTTATAATCTAAATTGTCAGTTCAAAAAGTGATTATTGTAAAATTGTACTGGACTATTGAAGTACATGGAATTGATCTAAATTAACACATTTACAATTCATCGGGGGAAGAAATCGTTAAGAATCGCTAGATGGGAGTAGGACACACATTGAGGAAGCACCCAACTACATCACAAGGCAAGCTCTCACGTGGGATTCTGAAGACCAAATAAGAAGAGAGAGACCAAAGAACACACTACGCCGTGAAATGGAAATAGACATGAGAAAAATGAACAAGAATTGGATAGAAGTAGAAAAAAAGGCCGAGGAAATAGTGGATCGGAGAATGCTGGTCGGTGGCCTATTCTCAATTGGGAGTAACAAGCGTCAGTAAGTAAGTAACACATTCACAATATATAGAATCATTTTATTGTGAGAAGAATATACAGGAGAGACAAATCAATATTTATTTATGTAATCAAACTATACCATCGACATCTGGTCGATGGTGAATCCTGGTGAATGGCCTATTTTCTTTCATGAGAGATAACAGGTATAAGTAAACAAGTATCTAATATCAATTGCTAATAATTCAAAACACAGTGAAATACAAATAAACATACCATCAGGACGTGAGATTCCTGGTAAATACCAATATTTAGATGTATCAAGAACTTGACGCATTCCTACTGTATCACCATCGACAATATCAACACCAATATTCGTTCCAGATAAACTTCCATTTGGTGAAACTGAAATTGTATGTAGATAAAAATATCAACATAATAATGATAATGATAATAATAAGGATAGATTCGATGGAAATTATTTATTACAAATTGATTGAAGTAGGAAATGTGCACGATCGGGTGAGAACTCAGCGGTTTGATGTTTAAACACTAATTGCTAGATCAGAACGATCTTGGGATTGATCTGATGAAGAGTGTTTTTCAAGGATGAATTACTTTCAAAGTGTTCTCTCTGATATCAAGTAGTACTATGAATGAAATCAGTATGTAAAAAGAGTATCATCCCTCCCCCTACATAGTTAAAGATGCTTTTACTACTAAACCAAAAGCTCAGGATTCTAGTCAGTCAGTCAGCTACAACGTAAGACCAGTCACATATATATGCATCGGTCTAAGTTGCCACACCTCATTAGTACAACAACATGAACACCAAATTCATACATGTAGTTACTTCAATGGTAGTAATATATAGAAGAGAGTTTGTGTATAAGGTTATAGTACAGGTAGAAAGAATTAGTTCGTAGAAATAAAGGTATAAAGCAATTTTAATTTAACGGTTTAAGGGAGAACAGAGAGTGTATACACTGACGCCATTATGATTGATTCTGAGCCATGTCACTCAGAGTTCTAGTAAGAAGCCGTAACTAAAACTTTTGAAACAGACAAAGTTAGTGAGATTAATGAGAGTCGCACAATATCATAGAGTGATCACTATTGGATGCCAACTAAGTCATTTAAAGATTAAGTGTTGACTGACAATCTTGAATGTGATTGATTCAATTAACTGAAATCATTCCATCATACTAACCTATCAATCTTATATCATCTTAGAGAATGATAACAATATAGCTGAAAGGATTCAGTTATCTTACATGTTACTACTGATAAAAATAGAATTATGAATATGAAAACCAAACTATTAAATCTATCTTAGAAGGGATTTTTTGTGGATATTATAATAATTTCAATAGTTGAGATCATGAGTCAGTTGAAGCTAAATCACCATGGAAAACCTAGAAGCATTGGATGGCTGTTTCAAATCTCGCGAGGCAGGATCGTGGATGAGCACTCACACTGAGGAGTCCTACAATTGGACGAAACAGCCGTCCAGTACTTCCATGGTGATCTAGCTTCAATCGATTCATGATCCCAACTATTAATATTAATATTAAATCAATCATTATGTTCATTTTCTCGTATATATATATTTGTTTTACTTCTATACAATATACATACATGGTATAACAGATTGTTGAACTACTGATCGATTCACTATTGGTGTTGTTTCATATTGTGAATTATGTCTGATTGTCCCACTAAATATTGATTTGAAAACAAAAAGAAAAACAGAAAAAAAGACATTTTATCAACTTGATATCATTTTAACATCAAATTGCATCATCAGGCAACTGTTAACTTGGAATCCTGAAGGGAAACAAAAAAGAAGAAAGCCAAAAAACATACTATGTCAGGAATTGGAAGCAAATGTGAAAAGGATGAATAACAACTAGAAGAACTGGAAAGGACTGTTGAGGACAGAGTTGGATGGAGAATGCTTGGATCGGTCCGACCGTTGCTGCCATCTTGATGTGATGGTCAGGCTTGTCTATCGTGATGAAGCAACCGAGCTATACTGACTGGAACAACCGTTCCTCAAGGTTCTACTATTGCCAGACAGGTCGGCTGAAGAACGGTAAGACTAAAAGCAGCAAACTCAAGGTCCGAAGGCGAAGTCGTACTGCTGACTGCACAGAGGTGTGACGGCAGTAAGGTGTTTCCCTCTGGCAAACAGCATAACAACAATGCTGCTTGCTCACAAGGAGGAGTGAGGTTAGAAAAGGTCGACCCTAAAAATTCACACCTCGCCTTATCTCACGGATATCCGTCTCCGGTGGTAAAGTTTCAACAACTACGAAGCTAAAACGAAAACTACTCTTAAGAAGGTCGTGTGTAACCGATATCAAGCAGTTGTCCCTTGGGCACTGTAGTTACGCTCTCAGGTCACTAAGACCACCTCTCATCCAATTTCTTTTTCAGATGCCTCCAGAAGAACCCTTTCACAATGAAGGTTATAAATCTGTTTGAAGAAAAAGGATTATGATTCACAGTTGGTGGCTAGGATTAGAAATCGAATCAAGGATTTTCCTCACGAACTGACATCAGTTAAAATGCCAAGACGCTATTTAACAAATGATTAAATGAATTTCGTGCCGAAATCCAACACTTGTTAGCCTAAATCTGATTGGTTCGTTCATAAATTATAACCACACCGTGAGAACAATTTTACTCCTTCTCATTCACTATCTCACAATTAGTAATATGCAAACTAAGTGACATCATGTCACTTCAATAAAACAGTGTATAAGCATAATGACAATGAAAGAAGTGAATAACTTACAGATATGGTGATTGTGGTCCAGATGTATGCATTTCACGATGATAATTTGTTGTTGCAAGTGTACGGAAACCATCTTGTTGTTCTAATCCAGGAGCGTATGATCTATTCGCTAGTTGAAAAATATTATATGATTAATTGAAATCATTAATGTTAATTATCAGAATGGGATTTTTGTGGATATCCTAGCGATTTTTAATAGTTGAATTTATGAGTCAATTGAAGCTAGACCACCATGAAAAACCTGGAAGCATTGGACGGTAGTTTTGTCTTATTGTAGGACTCCTCAGTGTGAGTGCTCATCCACGATCCCGCTCGCAAACTTCGAACCCAAGAACCTCTAAGCCACTGAGCTGGCCAACAGCCAATGGTGTCAGTGTCTAACTTCACGACATTGCACTACTATCCACTTATGTCATCAACGAGTAACTGTCTCTACAACAAACATGGTTGGACTCCACTAGTCACAGCTTCTCACTAGAACTCCACCAAATACCTCTTGGAGTCCACCATAAGTGAGCACATGATGATCACTATCAGGACGGGATTTTTATGGATGTTCTAGCAATTTTTAATGATCCAGAGTTCGAATCTCTCAAGGCAGAATCTTAGATGCGTACTGCTGAGGAGTCCCATACTAGGACGAAACGACCGTCCAGTACTTCTAGGTTTTCCATAGTAGTCTAGCTTCAATTCACCCATGAATTTAACTATCAAAAATGTTAAGTTCAAAACATATACATATATGTATAACCTGTAAACACAGTCATCATGTTCACAGTTACACTATACACCAGATATAATCTAAGGTAACTAAGAGAATGAAAATAAAATACAAGCAATATAAGTAATATAAATGATTGAACTAATCAACTTGTTAATTGACTATTGAATATAGAACTCTATGAATTATCTCTGTTATAATGAAATGGTATAATTTAACTTGATAGTTAAACGTTTGTTAAATGTTATGATTGTAAATAAGTAGTATATATAGTTAACTGTTAAATTATATGTTAATGAAATGAATAACCATGATTAATATAATGTAATGTAGAACAAGTATTGATAAATATAAGTAGTATATATATCATCCATTGAAAGTGAAATGTCTGAAGGTAGAAGGTTAAGAAGATTGAAGAAGAAAAGAACGAGAACACAGAATGGTTGGTGTGGAAATGTAGGAACAATAAAGTTTGAAGTGATTGATAGATATTTTGCAAATGAAGTATTTACTGTTTGGTTCTCAGATACTACACTAAGTGATTCTGTCATTTTGTATTTAAATATATTCGATTGTGAAATAGTGGAGAAGATTTGTAGCTCAGCTGAATGATTTTGATGGAGTTTTATTCTCTGAGCTGGATGGTTTGATCGTGGAGCATTCATTGTTCTTCTGAACGACCAAACCATCCAGCTCAGAGAACAAAACTCCATCAAAACATATTCGATTGTTCTCATTTTTGTTCTCGTTCACTACACTCTTAGCCAGATACATCAAATAACTATGAATAGTCTTTTAGACATATAGTTTAATGATTACATCAGGGACTGATCTTGATTAAACAATCATTGAATACTATAAAGGATTGAGTCATTGGTTTTTAGTACAAGATTCAATAGTGTTCATTAACCATATCATTGGGAATAGAATCAAATACTTCCAGGTGTGGGAGCGATTGTTTTCTCTTTAAACGATTGAGTTAAAATCTAATGATTTACATTTCAAACTTCATCCAATTAAGTTGTCTAATCACGATCAGTTAGGGATGTATATTCTAACATTGAACAATCTCCTGAAGCTCCACATGTTAACGTGATTTTCAGTTAAGCAGAATTGTACACATAAACATTTTTTAACCTTCTTTATTTTCGGTTCCCAATGGAGTTACTCAGTGTAATTATTGTATAAGATGTAGATTTACCTAGATTCGTGATGTTAGTCAGTTGACCGGCAAATAGTACAACCATCTGAGTACAAATCAATCACTTTAAAGTCATAATAGTATTCAAGATATAGTTCTAATTTCTATTAGATTGTATTGTAAACTATTGTTCTTATCACGTATGATTTGCCAACTGTCTATGACATAACATTTCTGAAGGTATATTACGTCCCCTGAACTGTATGAAGATTTCATTGTCTTTCTAGACAAAACCATCATCAGTATCAACATACACTTTAGAAAGAAGTAAGCAATTAGAATTTCTCCACCAAAATGACTACCAGCTTGTTCTACTGACTTAAGATTTGATTGATTGACCGATTGATTGTTGTCCGTAGTTCTATTGTATTCTAAAAATATTCAATGAATCTGTAGTGTCGGTTACTATGCTAAGCCCATATAACTTATTCTAGCTTCTGAGCCGACCATTCTTCTGGAGTCACATATGCCTTCTCTACTGAGCGTCATTTCTTTTCGCTCTCTTCTCGTCATTTGGATAAAACTAGAAAGGAAGGCATAGGACAGAGTGAGTTGGAGAATGCTGCTCCGCGGCCTATGCTCCATTGCGGGTAACAGGCGTAAATAAATAATATAGATATATAGAGATCGATAAAATATTCCTTGATGAAGTAAGTTACTACTTTTTAAGTACAATAGTAATATCTCAAATAAGCGATTGAATTAAACTGATCGAAAAGCTTTGTATATTCTAGAACTGTTATGATTATTACATGAATGACAGAGATTATGGTGTTTCGATGGATGCTACTTATGTTTGCAGACATAAGTAGTATGCAACAGTGTTCAGTAGTGGAATGTCTGCGATCATACGGTTGAGATGATTGTCATAAAAAGAAGAAAGAAGAAACTAAAAGCAATCAAGATAATATGATGAATGAAGGAATAATGAAGCTTGTACGAGACAATTCGAGGAAAATATGCAAATGATGTATTTACATTTTACTGAACTACTAATAGGAATGTCATTAGTTTACTTTTAGCTCATTTACATTCTAGCCATTATATAGTGGGTTCGAGTAAGTGTTGGGTTCTTATAAGTAGTATATATGTTTCAAAGAATTCACTTCATAAACCAAACCACTATGTATTTTATGCTCTCAAGTTTAATCCAAGTACTCCTCACTCAATAGTTTTACTTAACGATACCTTTGACGTAATGTTGATCACTGATACATGTCTTATCCATTTACAATGAATATTCGATAGCCATAAACTTTAAAAATATCTTAGACTTCTAAGAACAGTAGTTGGAGATAGTCAACAAGTAACCCTGGACTTAGGTTTTGTGCTATTTTGCACTCATCAGAAAGATGTACCTATAATCTTAAGGAAACTGATACTCTCTGACGGATTCGATCACATATCATCCAGTTTCACAGTCAGAGATATAACCAGGTTGATAGGATTGGATCTACACTGAGTAGAATTTGACATTGATCCTTCCCTAGTGATCAGTCAATTGATATATTGACATATATATCTATATCATCTGTGTTCGAAGTGAAATGAACCGTTATACACTAAACACTATTATCAATTATTGATATAGTTAGTGTGAATATTCATGTCACTATCCATACAGAATGAAATGAACCCTTGGAAATAAAAAAAAGGGATAAACATAAACAGAACATCACTCAAATGATAGATTTGGGTTAAGATGATTATGTCATCATCAGAGTAGTGGCGGTGGTGGTGGTGGATTAGCATCAATAGGATACCATAATTTGCGCTACATTATCAAATAATAAATAAGCTTTATTAAATGATTGTTGTTATTAGTTATAAGAAGCGAATTGTGAGAAGCGATGGATTACATTTACCTAACTTATTATTATGACTAGATATTGGATAATATTGTTGATTAGATGATGATGATGATAATAATAATCGTTGTTTCTGTGTCATTTCTTGAATATTCTGTGTAAGAGTTTGCCTGGCATATGAATTCCTATTCATAGATGTTTGATTTAATAATTCCAACGATTGATGATCCATAGAATTCCATTTATTACTGTTATTATTATTACCATGACTACTATTATACACTAGATTACTATGATGAGGATGAGGATGATGATCATGATGATGGATGATAGGTAGTACAGTTTTATTGATACTTGAAATTCGTGATGAATGACCAGTATTAGTGAAACCAACTAAACGTCGATTGATAGATGGACTTAATAATGCTTGTGTAGTTTGACTATATGGTATATCAATAGTACTACGTTGCATTCTTATTGGACTATAATAATCTTTACTAATAGATCGTTTTATTCCTGATATTGATAGATCTATTCTTCCAGCGGATGAATGAGGTCGATTAAACAATGTTGGAAATGTTGATAAACCTGAAAGAAAGGTGATTGATTTATAAAAGAGTAGTAGTAGAATGATTTGGTATAGAATTATTTGTCGTTTTTCTTTTGTACATTAATGCTTATTTACTTACTTACGCCTGTTACTCCTCGTGAAGGATCATAGGCCGATCACCAGCATTCTTCATCAAACCCTCTACTCAACAATCCTTCTTCTAGTTCCTATTGATCCTTTTCATATCTGATTCTATTTCCCGATGCAATGCGTTCTTTAACCTTCCTCTTTTTCATTTCCCCTCAGGATTCCAAGTTAGGACTTGCCTCGTAATGTAGTTTGATGATTTGTGTAATGTATTTCCTATTCATTTCCATCGTCTTTTCCTAATTTCCTGTTCATCTGGAAGCTGGTTTGTTCTCTTCTAGAGAAGGCTGTTGTTGATGGTATCCGGCCAATGGATGTTGAGTATCTTGCGTAGATAGCTACTTATAAGTACTTGTACTTTATTGATAGTGGTTATTGTAGATCTCCATGTTTCAGCTCCGTATTGAACATTCTCACTTTGATATTGGTTGACAGACAGTTGTTTTGAGTTCCATATGTTCTTCAATTGTAGGAATGAGGCCCTTGCTTTGCCAGTCCTCGCCTTTAGGTCTGCATCTGAACCTCCTTGTTCATCTCTGATGCTTCCCAGATATGTGAAGAATTCTACATCTTACAGAGTTTCGCCATCAATGTACATTAATAATTGGTTGGTAAATGTCAATATACTCTGATCATTGAACAGTTATATAATGTATTTGTTATGAAGTATTTATCATTAGTAACTATGTTAACATATTTGCAATTCCCTAATGAATATCACTATTATTAGATAGAATTCTTTAGTTACTGACATAGTAACCGATTCCTAAACTTCTATTATCTTTGATACTTCAACTCCAAATGGATTGCGGAAATATGGAAGAAACATTATGAAGGTCAGTTTACATACAGAAAACACTACATATGTATATATATATGGGATATCATGTAAGTTATTTAATAGATGATTCTTAGATTCTTAGGAATTGATCAAATCGTTTTAAAGGATTCCTGCCACTGCATCCTTTACAAACACTACTGAATTTTATTCCATAAGTAATATATATGGAACCGTTTTTTTCTTTCTTTAAATCAGTAATAGGACTGATGATATTCATGTAAACATCATATTAAAAGTGTACCTGAAGTTTATGTTGCTGATGATGTCGTTTAAAAGAACGATGAAAGTTCCATAACCAAACTATCCAGCTCAGAGAATAAAACTCCATCAAAATATAAGTATATAATTACATGTAATTAGTGGATATTTTCAAAAAATGATCGTCAAGAAGGCCATCACTTTCTCGATACTTATTATATTAATTATGTACCATTAGTGATATGTATATTATAAAAGTATTTAAGACAAGTACCATAAAGAGTCCGCTGATGCCTAGGGTAAATACCATTAAGCCAGGGTACATATAGTCCAGCACGAAGCCAGATGCATACTTCATTATATATTTTTGGGTCGTGATAGTGATCCTACCACAGGTTCATCTACAGAAACCTTGTTACAACTTTTACTTCCTCTAAATAGTCAAATTAGGTCATCTTCTTAACATTAGTCGAGCGACAAAGTCACTACAACGAAACCAATTCAATGACCTCACTAAACCATTCAATCGGTAGTAGCGATGGAGATTTTGATGAAGAGTCATCATATACATCAATGAATAATACGACAATAGGGAATTTAATAAATCACGTAATACAATAATGAAGGTTTCGTACGAAGCATAAATGGAACATTATGAACCTATTACCATTCTCACAAAAGTTGACCCTTTTATAAACTATTTAGACGATACTGATTATCATAACTATTGTAAGCAAAGATGGATAGTGACTAGCAGTGAAATCCAGGACACACATTTCGTCCTATTTGGAACTCATCGGTTAGGTGTACCTACACATCCCAGAATTGTTGATGTTCGCTCTGGGACTCGAACTCAGTACCGTTCGCTTGAAACGCCATTACTTTATATGACCTATTTTATAGATTTGGGAAATTCAACTTAATAAAAGAACTCATTCCATAGACATACTTTCATAAAATATGAAATTACATCTAAATAATAAAGAATAAACAATAAACATTATATCATTAAAACTAACCACTTGGTGTTGTAGCACGAACTGATCTAGCTATAGAACCAGTTGGTGGTTCCAAGTCGTGTACACCACGACCAATTGGTTGTAATGTAATCGTTTCCATTTCTTCTAAAACAGCTCGACTACCCACTGATCTGGAATCATGTAATTGTCTATTTGAAGCTTGCTAAAATATTCATTATACAAAAAATAATATTTAATAAACATAATGAATGATGATCATTATCATATACAGAAATCTAATTTATTTATAATGAATATTGAAAGTTCTTAGGTTATTTGTCTTCTGAACTTATCCTCGACAGCCTTCATATTCTTCAAATGGAACGTGTTCAGAACTATTGATCAGTATATCACTTATTCAGTGTATGTGGAATTTTCATCAAAGATTTCACTTCAGCGCTTAATCATTAATTATGTTAGCGTCTTTTATCTACTGTGGGAGAGAACAAACCAACTTCCAGCTGAAGAAGAAATTAGGAAAAGACGGTGGAAATGGATAGGATATACATAACGCAAATCATCAAACTGCATTACGAAGAGGGCCCTAACTTGGAATCCTAAAAAGAAGCGAAAAAGAAGAAGGCCACATTACATCGGGAAATAGAATTATATATGAAAAGGATGAATGAAAGCTGGAAATAACTGGAAAGGATTGTTGAGGAGAGGGTTTGATAGAGAATGCTGGTGATCGGCCTATGCTCCTTCACGAGGAGTAACAGGCAAAAGTAAGTAAGTTAGTCTTTTATCTGGAATATTGAACTGCACCACACTAACAGACAGTTGAAAATAACTTCACCGTAAATTATGACTATTACCAGATCTTTGGCTTATTCACAGGTAGATCTAATTAGATCTAAACTACACCAAGATAAATTGACTGTGAAAGTAATATAATCTTCACAAATCTCCATACTGATAATTATTGGATTACAGCCCTACGAACAGAAAAAAAATGATGATATCTATCACAGAATGATTTTATTAAGAAGAGTTAAGGATGAATTGGATGATAGGTTCATCCTATTGTGTGACTCTTCAGTAGTGAGTATTCACGATCCTACCCCACTACTCACACTGAGCGCTCTACAACAAAAAACAAAAGTAGTATTGCACTTATTTTAAAGTTTAAAGTTTCTATTTATTTATTTAGTTTAACACATAGATATTGGTACATGGAGGCACCAAATACATATGAACCACACGAATCTCATTTGATATGTGTGAGGGCTGTGATACTACGTGGGTGACTAAACAGAATCAGCTGGTTTTCTTAGGGGGCCACACTCAGAGCTTTCGACCTGAAAGTCTGATCCACAAGGTAGTGGAGCAACGTTAGGAGATGCAGTCCCATGGTAGCCGGTGACCAATACTTGGTTCATACGCCATTTGTCCCTTCAGGATACTGCAGACCATTTTCACCATTGGTTTAGAATGAGGGTTTTCCAACTCTCATAAGTGGACTCTCCGTGTCCACCAACTCGGTTAAAGAGCTCGACATTCATTTCTCGTCCTCTCATTTTCGTAAACAACACCCATGGTGCGAGAAGGCAGTCAGTAGGACTTCCTTTGAAGTGGTTGTATGCACGTGGTCATTTGAGAGCATTTGGAGAGGGAGAGCGGACTCTCCTCATTCTCGTTCGTACCAGGGCATTTGGGGACCTAAAGTTTCTATACTTTTGACCATGTATGAGATCGTAGCTGAGCTGTACAGTAGTGCTTCGGAAGTCTTATACTTTCTGGTATTTAGTAATTTTTTGTATTTTTTCGATTTATATCAGGAACCTTCATCAAAACGTAACTAAGCACTTAGAAAATAATCAAATTCTTCAAGTAATATGCTTTTAATGAAAAAAAGGAAAACACAGTGAAGAGACCATAAAGCTCAGATATGAAACAGTTATCCCATTTAATCACAAATAGTTATTATATGCCTTATACTATTCTTTAAGATAGTCTGTTTAGATTAAATCTTCGTACCGTACGGTAATCATCAAAATGCATAACTAGGCAACCGCTAACTTAGAATCTTGAATGGGAATGTTACGTCCTGACAAGAATAATGAATGGTAACCTTTGGGATCTATTGGTGGACCAATACTAAACGTATATTTCTATTGTATAATTATTAAGTAACTAAACTATGCATATTCATATTTCCCTTATTATAAGCTTTATTTTGACCCATAAACTAGTATTATACGTTTTACCATTCTTGAGTTATACCCAGTCTATCAATTACTATCTCCCACATTCACAACCACATTTGACTAAGTCTTGTACAAATGTTCTTTCATATTTTATTGGTACGTTGTGGTCTGTTTGATTGGTATATAAACTCAGTATGTTTGGAATATAAGGATTCATATTACGGAGGCTGAGACTAGTGTTCTGGACTTAACTGGTCGGGCTAGGCGGACAGCAGGACTAATCAGGACTCTAGGCTGCTCGCACGTGTTTTACGCGTTCGTGGTCCGATCGATAATTTGCTTCTCCCTAATTGGCGTTCACAAGTTATAACAGGGAACAGAATAGAGGAATGCCGAAGAACATACTATACCAGGAATTGGAAACAGACATGAAATGGATGAATAGCAATTTGTAAACAACTGAAAACAATTGCCCAAGATAAGATTCGATAGAGAGTACCAGTTAGTGACCTATACTCCTTCACGAAAGATAACTGAGTCTCTACTCGAAATTAAAATATCAAAAAAAATATTACATAACTCATAATTATACTTACACTATTTCGCATCTAAAAACAAACATACAAATTTTGTTCAGTAGTGAATTTGACATTAAGAATAGAAGTTTGTTAAGTCATATAAACTGTGTCAGAAACTTTCTTTACTACTTTAATCAGTCCAATCACTTCTATTGACTGAGGGTTAAAATGGTTAGATATGAGAAGATTTCTCAATAATTAATACAAAGTTTGAGACGAAACTCATATTTTGTTTGGTATTGGTTAGATAAAATGGGATTTGTTTATTATTCTGAAGGAACTGGTATTACCTATGAGATATTGTAGTGAACAGAACACGGGGGGGGGACAATCGGATGTATTTGAGCACAAAATTACAGGACTTCATATTGAAATCTAACAATCGTATAGTAAATGTTTAACTTGCAAAATGTCTACCGATTGTCTCAAAATGACTCAGACCTCATTGTTCTTGCATTTTCATACAAATTGCATCCCGTTTCCATTCTTTACTGTTCGATCCTCTTGTCTCTCTGCTGTCGGACCTTCTGTTCACGACTAACATCATATACTACTTATGTCAATATAAGTAACACACAGCACAATATGAATGTACGATCCTAAATTATTCAAACTACAATTGATCATTGAATAATGAATTAGTTTTGTACAAAAATGATCAGATATCATATCTACAAAGAAAAAAGAATGGGACCTATTAAACTTACCCAATCTTCTGTTGTTCTTTGTTCTTGCATTCGTCTCATATTTTCTTTATGAGCTGAATAAGTTGAATACATTGGTGGTTGTTTGCATGTTGAACTATTCCTTAAATTGGTTTCTAAATAAATTTTTCAAAAACAAACAAACAAACATATATGATGTAATAATGGGTTATTGTGGGACTACCCACAGCAGTTCGCATTCATGATCCCATGTCGTGAGATTAGAACTCAGGACCGATCGATCTTGCACGCGAACGATTAACCACTAGACCACTAAACTAATCGGCATCCAACTATGTTATTGTTTAACTTCAACCAACCCACGAAATTGCACTATCGTTCATTATTGTATTCAGTGAGTTACTATGTCACAACAAACCCGATTGTCGTTATTATTCAAAGCTTATCCATAGGCTATATATGTGAATAAATTGACTCTTGAAGAGGCCTACTTTACAATAGAGACTATTTACAACCTTTTTATCATTTGATGAGTTAAGTGACGAATATTTATAGTTGAGTAACAGTGGCTGGTATTAACTTGATGGACATATAATATTTGAGATTGACTAAAGGTCGTCTAGAGACTTGAATGTTTCGTGTTTGATCCCTATTGTGTGGTTGTGGATACGCACTACTGTGAAGTTTTCATTATGAGCCAGCTGTTCAATTGTGCCTAGTTTTTAACAGTTGTTTAGTCAAAGTTATTGAGTTATGTAAAGCTTCAAATTCAACAGTCTTTTAAACACATAACAGTAGTAATGAAATAATTCTATACCTACGATCTAGAGCAAGATGGAAAACTGATGCATCTACAATAAGGAAATCGATTTTGAATAAGCTAATTACAGTTTCACACCCCCTCAAACACCCTCACTTAATCATATCCACAGAAACAGATTAATTCGATAGTAATGGACTTTATGGAACCCATGGGTAAGCCGCCGCAATAGCTGTTTTACAAACTAATTTCAAGCTAAGCAATATTGATAGATATTGGCTCGACATCGATAAATGTTCCAGCCATTTCGGTCAAGAAGCGTTTATTTCGTGGTACGTATACGAATATCTGTTGGTAACGAAGTGTCATACTTCTCTTTGTTGATGTACATATGCCACATTGTTGAAAGTAAGACAAGTAAGCTCCTCAGCGAAGTAACTCTGTATAGGAGGCTAATGAGTGATATATTAGTCGTATGTAATAAGGAGTTACACGTATCTTGGTTATTAGATAAATTCGATAGTGTACAGAATGAGATACCACCTACTTATAATGAAGAAAACAATAACCGACTGCCTTTTTTGGACATAATTTTAGACGAAGAAAGGATGAAACTGTAAAACGATCCGTTCATAGGATGTCAATCTGAGCTTGGAAATATTTGAACTTTCACAGTTTCTATCCGTTACAGTATAAACGACGTTTGGTAAATTGCCTATACAACAGAACTCAACGAATATACACTACAAATCTACCTGAGGAGGTGACAAAACTGCTAACCGAAAAGATTATTCGCTGTAGTTTATCAATTAGTGTAAAAGTAAGCTAACAAGAAGACTCTTGGATTCTGTTATGAAGTAAAGGATATATCTCGTATTAACATTTAAAAGAGAGTCAAATATCATAAGTTTGAGAAAGAGACTAAAAGTAAACATTAAGAAAACATTCTATGCTGTTAAACCTATGATTTCACATAGGCCTAGACATTACATAACAGATTACGTTACATCCCGTTGAATTTACCAATTCTCATGTTCATGTGCCCCCGAATCCCTGGTACGGCCGAGAGTGGACAGAGTCCGCTCTCCCGCTCCAAATGCTCTCACATGGCCACGCGTATACAGCCTCTACCAGAGAAATCCTACTCACTTCATTCTCGCATCATAGGTGTTGTTTACGAAAATGAAAGGACGAAAAGCGAATGTCCGGCGCTTTAATCGGATTCCAAACCAATGGTGCACATGGGCTACAGTATCCTGAGGGAACAAATGGCATATGAACCAATCGTTGGTCACTGGCTACCATGGGACTGCATCTCCTCACGATGCTCCACTGCCTTGTGGGTCAGACCTTAAGGTCAAAGGCTCGGGGTGTGGCCCCCTAAGAAAACCACCTGCTTCGGTCTGGGCACCCGGGGCAGTATCACAGCCCTCACACAAATCGAATGATTTGTGTGGCGCACATCTATTCAGTGCCTCTTTGTACCAGTGTTTATGTGTTTAAATAAATAAATGAATAAAACATGTTCATGTGGACACATATACACATAGAGGAATAATGAAACAATGAAACGAAGAGCTGTGGAAAACATATAACTAGATAACTTCAGAATCAGTTAATGTCATATACTTTGATCAATCTATGAGATAGGCAACCATATTCAACGAACTGTTAAGAATGAATTCTTAGGTTCATGGAAGCTAGACAATCTACCCATAGCAATCTTTAAGCTGTACTATGATCTATGATGTTATAGGAACTTTCTATATTGTATTCATTATTTTTCCCTTACCTTTGTTTATCATAATCATTTTATGTTTATTTGAACTTTGATTAATATAACCTTTATTCGTTTTCATAGGTGTTTTGTAAATTGAAGCCCAAACAGACCATAATTTGTAGGTTAATTGTTTCATCTTATTGCTCTATCAAAGTTTACAAAAGGGTCTAATTGTTTTAAATATGCGCTAAGTGAAACTCAATTGGTTGGGTAGGAGATAGTCATTCACCGAAGGAGATAAAAGATGATCACCCAATGTCATGGATTGTCAGTCAGTCAGTCAGCTATAACGTAGGGTCAGCAACATATATGCATCGGTCCAAGTTCCCATATCTCATTAGCACAACAAGATGTACACCGGATTCATAAAAGTAGTTAATTCAATGGTAGTATTATATAAAAGAAAAATTGCATATAAGGAAACAGTACAGGAAGAAAGAATTAGTTCGTAGAAAGAAAGATATGAAGCGATTTTAATCTCATAGTTTAAGGGAAGACAATGAGTGTATATACCTACACCATTGTAATCGATTTTGAACCATGTCACACAGAGTCTCCAACCACCGATTACGACAGACGCGCTTAGCCCAACTAAGGAGTGGCTTCAAGGACTGACGCCATGTTTTGGTTTGGCTACCCCTAACTTCATTCCATCCATGTCCAACACTAGTCAGCATTGCGTGGCAACACGTGGCCCAACCATATCAGTCGATGAAGATTCATAACCTGATTAATTAATTTATCATCATTCCCTGATACCCTGCGTCCGAACCTCACTATTATTTACCCGATGATCGCAACAGATCCGGGCAATATTTCTAAGTCATCTGTGATCAAACACTATTACCTTACGACTATCTTCTACACTAACTAGCCACATTTCTTAGCCGTAAAGTGGAACAGAACGAACTGCTGCACAGTATAATCGTCCTTTCATTGATAGACGGATATCTTGCCTCGCCATAAGTGGTGACGTAAGTTGGCAAAAGTCAAACAAGCTTTTTGGATTCATTCAAAGATTTCGTCAGTAATACCGTTGAATTCCGACTCAACAGACTAAAAGTTAAATGTTCGCGCATGAAACCGAGGGAACTTGGTTCGACTTCTCGCTACGAAATGATAGATTTGCACTAATGACGACTCCTATTGTAGGACGAAATGACCATCTAGTACTTCAAACTTTTCAACAGTTGCCTAAGTTAGATTGATTCCAGGTTTAAATGCAATTTAATACATACAATATTTTTTGTAAAATTTAATAAATTAAAAGTGAATAATTTCTACATACCTGACAACCATGCAGTTTTAGTCATTGTACTAGGTCCACTAATATTCATCTGACTTGATGTTCTTTGAGGTTGAACTTTTAAAGAAAGACAATAAAGAAAAAAAACAGCAACTTCGTCATTAGAACAGTATGATATAAAGGAATTCAATGTAAACTTTATTTAATAATTGAATTCATGAATCAAGTGAAGCTAGACCACCATGGAAAACCTGGAAGCACTAGACGGCCGTTTCATCCCCCTCATCAGTACGCATCCAACATCCTGCCTGACAAGATCTGAACCCAGGAGCTATTAGTATCGCGCACGAATGCTTAACCTCTACACCACTGAGTCGACTTTGTTATTTGACTAAAACGTCAAATTTAACTAAATAGAATAGCAGAATATTGTGAAGAAATTCGAAAGATTTCAAGAACATCAATGAATGATATAATTATAGAATTGTTATTTGTTCTTAAATGAGTAGTTCTGAAGAATGAACACTTTGTCTATTTCATTTAAAAATCTTGTAAAAAGAACAATGAAACTGATACTTTATTCATCACATAGTGTTTGAGAATTTGATTCAATCATTATAATAATTCTTATAGTGAACATCAACAGATCAGGCATGTCATAGGTACATTCAATTGACGAGTCATAATTTAGAACAAAACACGCTTCCTGGATTCCAGTATTAGGCACTGTTCATTATTGACAGAAAACTGATTTCGTTTCTACACTCAGAACAAAGAAGATCGGTAATAATGTTTTGATAATTGTATTCATATTTCACGAAATAAATGTCATGATGATAGATATATCATATATAGTGTAACAGCAGTCTCTGCATCAGTAGGCCTCAACATACACAACAGGAAAACCAAGGTCCTCAAATTCAATACGGAGAACAGCAATCCAATCACTCTTGATAGCGAAACTCTGAAAGATTTAGAATTCTTCACATATCTCGGAAGCATCAGAGATGAACAAGGAGGTTCAGATGCAGACGTAAAGGCGAGGATTGGCAAAGCAAGGGCCTCATTCATACAATTGAAGAACATATGGAACTCAAAACAACCTCCAACCAATATCACAGTAAGAATCTTCAATACGGACGTCAAGGCAGTTCTACTGTACGGGGCTGGAACTTGGAGAACTACTACAACCACCATCAAGAAGGTACAAGTATTTATAAATGGTTGTCTATGCAAAATACTCAACATCCATTGAGCGGGTACCATCATCGACAGCCTACTGTGGGAGAGAACAAACCAGATTCCAGCTGAAGAAGAAATTAGGAAAACATGATGGAAATAAATAGGACATACATTACGGAAATCATGAAACTACATCACGAGGCAAATCCTATCATGGAATCCTGAAGGGAAATGAAAAAGAGGAAGGCCAAAGTACACATTACATCGGGAAATAGAATTAGATATGAAAAGGATGAATAACAACTGGAAAGAGCTGGAAAGGATTGTTGAGGACAGGGTTGAATGTAGAGTGTTGGTGAGCGGCCTATTCTTCTTCACGAGGAGTAACAGGCGTAAATAAGTAAGTAATATATCAAATATGAAATGGGTTGTGTTTTTACTGTGTGCGTCTCTCTTTTTCTTTTACTTTCCCCCTCTCTGTCTCTTTCTTTTACTTTCCCCCCTCCATCTTTCTCTATCCGCTACTCGAATCATATGATTAACTGTCAGCTTTACATCAATTTTCTTAGAAAAAAAAAGAAATACATTTGTAATTGAAAAGTAGTTTATATACAGAAACTATATAAAATATACCAGTAGTATGTCAGTAGTATATACATACCTTATCATAGGTATACAACAATATACGATGAATGAAGCATACTTAAACACACTACAAATACCTACTTGTTGAATCTATGAAGTAGAATCATTCATATATAGTGATCATATGATGTTATTATTATTACTATTATTCTTATTCAACATTGAATCATTCCATTTTAAAGAAAGAATTTCAAAACTCTTTGAAGTTTTGAAATATTCATGTTAACTGGTTTGTTCAATGATGCTTACAAATACAACATGGTGATCATCAACTGAATTATACTTGATAGAGAAACTTTGAACGAGATAGAAGTTTTCATATATCTGGGTAGCATTATCTATGAACAAGATGGATTGGATGAAGGTATGAAGGCAAAAGGTATACAATATATAGGCATATGGAATTCAGAACAAATGTCTATCAACTAATATCAATGTTACAATCTTCAATACGAGCGTGAACACAGTCAGTTTTATTGTACGGAGCTGAAACGTCGAGAACTATTACTATAACTATCGTCAAATGGGTACAAGTATTTATAAACAATTGTCTATACAAGATACTCAATATCCGTTGATCTGGTACCATCAACAACAGCCTACTGTGGAAGTGAACAAGTCAACTTTCAGTTGAAGTGGAAATTAGGAAAAGATGATGGATGTGGATAAGATATATATTGGGGAAATCATCAGAAACTGCACCACGTAGCAAGCGTTAATTTGAAATCCTGAATGGAAACAACGAAGAGGAAGGCTAAAGAACACACTACGTCGAGAATTAGAAGCAGACATGAGAAGGATGAATAACAACTAGAAAGAATTGGAAATGATACATTCATGACAGATTTGGTTGGAGAATGTTGATAGATGGCCTATTGTCCTCTATGAGAGGTAACAGACAGAAGGTCCTGGATTCAAACCTCGCATGAGGGATCGTGTATGCGCACAGCTGAGAAGTCTCATAGTAGGACAAAATGATCGTCCAGTGCTTCCAGGTTTTTCATGGTGGTCAAGCTTCAATTAACTCATGAATTCAACTATTAAAAAATATTTACATTATGAGAAAGAAACAAAAAGTAAGACGACTGTATAGAATTCTGATAAGTTCACAGAACTGACAATAAAAGCCACTTTACTCTTTTTAACTACTTTCGATTGGAATCATTCATTTAATGATGTACATTCAATGCATAATCATGCAACAAAATAAATACAATCATACAAGACCAAAATCATTCAACATACACTATATTAATAATACTATCTGATAATAAAAGTATACATGCATTTAAGATAACTTCGCCGTGGAGCCCCTCTGGAGCTACTGCCTCTTTTAAGGTTAAATAAAGTAAGAGGATTGGGCATAGCGTTATCGACCCATTCCGGTAGAAAACAAAAAAATAATAATTCAAATCATGCATTCAGAATGAATGATCAATGATCAACGTGGTGTGGCAACTCAGGCTGATGTATGTACGTACGTACGTACGTACGAAGTTCTACGTTGTTACCGACTGACTAACTGATAAAAAAAATTGAACAGAACCAAGTCAAATATACCATGTTTACATAAATCAATATAAATGACTGAAAATAGAAAAATGATAAGTTGTAATTAATAGGACTATATCATGATTAAAAATAGTTGATAAGCAATAAATATTAATCAGATTTGATCACGGACAATTGTACAACGTCAAATACCACTTAACATTTGCATCATTCCAGTATGAAATGAACTATTCAATAGTGTAAGCTATATGGCTATGTAGAGCTGAAGGTCTCATATGAGACTGGAGGTTCGCCATCGTTATTGTGGATGATTCGGCATTACTTTGACAAGTTTTGCTGACTGTTCATGCATAAAATTGGTTTGCTGGTTAACAGATTTCATTCATACTGGTGGTTGCTTTTCAGTGTTGTCAAGGGCCATTGTCATTGGGACATTGTAAGGAATGTCCCAATTGCTAACATTAATGAGTTTGACTGTCGTGTAAGCGGAATAAGTCAACTATGACCTGTTCATGCTGTGCATAGTTGATTTATGTGATCATTGATTCGAATAATTATACATGTGATGTGAATGTGTATATGAATGGTGCAAATGGTCCACCAGGGTGCTTGATACCTGTGTGGTTGCATCGCTGGATTGAGCTGTACTATTCAGATTGTAGCGTTAAGACCTATATGGTGTCTGGTTCTCCTGCTAAACGAGATTGAGCTGTACTGTTTGGGTTGTCACGTGAAAGTCCGGATGGTGTCTGGTTCTCTTGAAAACCAATCTAAAATTACCCTAGCCCACAAGGGTATATTGTATAACTGTGAATATATATATAGTTCTATCAGTGTGTGTGTGTGGTGAGGGAGTAATTCTTGAGATGGTGGAGAAGATTTGTAGCTCAGGTGGACAATTTTGATGGCGGCTTGTCTTTTGAACTGGATGATTTGATTGTGGAGCTTTCATAGTTCTTTTGAACGACATCATCAGCCCAAATTTCAGGTAGAAGTAAAGAAATTCTAACATTTCACTTCTTCCTGAAGTTTGGGCTGATGATGTCTTTTAATATATTCAAACTTATACACAGTTTTTTGCGCCTTTCAGTTAACACACACTGATGCTTCACCTAATATACATTTACTTTATATATGTAATTTTCATCATAAACTGACATTATTGACAATTTTAATGAACTCCAAAGGAAGATATGCAGTTGGACCACCATAGATTAGAAATATAAGGATAGAACAGCCCAATACCGAAATAAACTTGGTACTTTCAATATATATGGTTAGAGCAGTACTATATGAAACCAATGAATCGTACTGTAATGGCCAAGATTTTTTCAACTTTTGCATACTATCATAAATAACTGTCTGTCCTCCAACTCAGATTTACAGTTAACCCCTTTCAGAATGAGCAATTTTACAATCTCGTGATGTAATGAACGAGAACACACATGGGGGGCAACCGAATGCATTTGAATGCAAAATTACACAATCATACATACAATACTTCATTTGCAAAACATCTACCAATTCATCTCAGACTTTATTGTCCCCTCATTTTCATATACCAATCACTCTGTGTTCCCATTCTCTCCTCTTCAATCTTCTCAATTTTATTCGTCAAGTCATTCCATTCTCGATTAATGTTACATATTGCTTATATATTACTTATATATCGATATAAGTAGCTTACATCACACTAGGTTTGAATATAATTTATATCATGCTTTAACATTGCTTTCATTATTATATTGTATATTTACATAATAAATGTGTAGTTAAAGACTTCATTTACTGAGATCTAACACCCCCCTCCGGTTCACACCCCTCTCAATCCACTTCAAACGAGTACTCTTTTTAAATTAAATCTGAATGATAGACATTTGTGACAGGAAATATTCTTGTCAATACTGAATCATCATTTCTAGTTACTATGGTGTTTAAAATGAGGTTAAATCAATTAATCAAACATTCTTTATCTTTTTTAAAAAGAGAAAAGAAGAACAGTTTACCTTTCGTTGAAGAGCGTTGATAATTTAACTCTTCTTCAATATCTGAAAATGAGAATCAAACTCAATCGAGATGATAAAGAAAAAAAACTGACAATTAAAAGTTTATTTCGAAAAAGAAATTCCCATGGTAACTAATCTTTGAATAACATGTAAATCACTGCCCGTAAATGCCATGGTACGACCGAGAGTGGGGAGAGAGTTAACTCTCCCTCCACAAATGCTCTCACATGGCCACTTGCATACAACCACTGCAAGGGAAGTCCTACTGACTGCCTTCTCGCACCACATTTGTTGTTTTCGAAATTGAGAGGACGAAAAGCGAATGTCCGGTAATTTATCCTGGTGGGTGGACACATAGAGTCCACCTAAGGGAGCTGGGAAATCGTGATTCTAAACCAATGGTGCACATGGTCTGCAATTCCTGAGGGAACAAATGGCATATGAACCAATCGTTGGTCACCGGCTACCATTGAACTACATCTTACCTTGTTCCACTGCTTTGTGGATCAGACTTTTAGGTCGAGTGTTCAGAGTGTGGCCCCCAAAGAAAACCACCTGCTTCGGTTCGGGCACCCAGGCAGTATCACAGCCCTCACACATATCAAATGTGATTTGTGTATCGCATATGTATTTAGTGACCCCTTGTATCAGTATTTATGTGTTCAAATAAATAAATAAATAAAACGCTTAATGAATTATCATCTAGTTGATGCGGTAACCAAGTTTCAGGTGGACCCGATGAAAAGTCTTACACACCAGACTTTAAAGAGGGGAGGTGTGAGGAAGGCCCACTGGTGAACTTGAGGAATCTCAGAAAGAGCCGAAGATATTCCATCCAGTCGTCTTTTTTGAGAATATTCCAGAATCCCTACGTGTAGCTTTCCTATCGGACAAATGATAATAACCCACATATATGCGGATTGGAGGACTATAATGATGATTTCGTTTTTACTAAAAACTATAAATACTTGATAGTTTTGTACCATAATTGACACTGTTTGGAATGACATTCCTTTCACTTGTCTTTTGTCTTCTCATTTGCGACTTAGGTGGGTTCTAGCGTTCGAGTGCTCAAGTGGTACGCAGTATATTAATAATCTAGGCTCTAGATATAACGGAGACAATTGTCAGGAAGACATGACTACAATTTAGAGCTTATTTATGTTCCCTACGGAATTCGAATTCATATAACCAAATGTTATAGCTCAAGAGATTACTATCATACTATTTAAATCATGATTAACTTTATTTAGGAATGAAACATTTTTACTGATCAAGTACTTACGAATATAATGATATCACTCTGTTACTCAAGACTGAATCGATTAAAAGTTGGGTTGCAGTTTGAGATCTAGTAACTGGACGTCAATAACTTTAATCATAAAATCTATATTTCATGTAAATCATCAGGATTTCTTATTCTAATGCTGATGACTGTCTTGCCCCCCCCCACCGCAAATGATACTTGTTAAAGATGTAAACCTATGACTGTTGAATAGATCAAATGTACGACCTTCAGAGAATAAAGTGAAAAGGATTTCAGTTCTAGATAATTTATCTTACTACTCTATCGTCATCCACTACTATACATGAAACCTTTCTGATTCCCATAGAACATGAACTCAATTCACTTGTTTTAGTATTATAGATATTAAGGTATAGCATGATTGGACTGTACTCTAACAACTAAAAACATATCTAATTTACCTTATATGATGTAAAGGGTATAATACAGTATTAAAATGTACTATATATCGGAATAAAATCAATAACCAGTAATTGATGGTTTTCAATAGTTCTCTTGTTAACCTTGATCAGTATTAAAGATAAACATGCAACAAACTTATTTATTCACTTGGTGTTGTTTTACTTGTAACTTCTCATTGTTATTTAGGACTGCAATTGATCAATCTTATATTGACATATGTGGGTCCTGTGCGGACTGCTTCGATATAGCCTTAAGTCACAAGCATTTTAAGTAAATATGGATAGTGACTAGCATTCGAATCCAGTTTGATGCACGTTTCGTCCTATTTGGGACTCGTCAGCTGGATATACCTGCATCTCAGACTTGTTGATGTTCACTCCGGGACTCTATCTTTGATTAAAAAATAATTGATTGTTCAATAATTCAAAGCCATCCAGTCTTTGAATTATTAGGTCATTTATTCAGATGTGCATGTTTACATAATAATGTTTTTAAAAAACGAACTTACGTTTTTCAGTTTTTGTTTCTTCTGTACGTTGATGAGTTCTTGAATCACGTTGAACTGATGAATAGTATGTAGTTGAAGAAAAAAAATTTTGTTCATAAATTTTTGTCAGTAAAAAGTCGTGGGATTATTAAGTTTTTGATTGAGATTATAAACCGATTGATGTGAGACTACCATTGAAAACCTGGAAGGCCCTTTCATCCTTTTGTGGGACTCCTCCTCAGTGCGCATCCACAATCCCGCCCATGGGGTTCGAACCCAGGTCTTTCATTACCGCGCGTGAACACTTAACCTCTAGACTACGAGCCGGCATCCGACGGTGTTAATCTTTGACCTCAAACAATCCACAAAATTGCGCGATCATCTTCCATTGTACTGAGAGAGACACCTGTCTCTATCCGACACGGAATAGTTCCACTGGACACGGCTTTTGACTAGAACTCCGAAAATTCCCTCATGAAGCTAGTCACTAGTGAGCACATGGTCCCGCGAGTGGGATCGTGGATTCGCACTGCTGAGGAGTCCCACAATGAGACGAAACGGCCGTCCAGTTCTTCCATGTTTTTAATGGTGGTCTAGCATCAATCGGTTCATAATCTCAATCGAAAACATAAATTTTTCATTTTGTTCTAAGTAAATAAATAACATCTATGTATTTTTAAAGGAAGGTACAATGAGAAGCCTATTTTCATTTAAACAATACCATCAGTAACAGTCTACTGTGGGAGAAAATAAACCGCCTTTCAACTGAGGAGGAAATTAAGAAAAGACGATGGAAGTGGATAAGACGTATATCGAAGAAATGATCAAAGGCTGCATCACGACGTAAGCGCTGTCTTGGAATCCTGAATGGGAACGGAATGGAGGAAGGCCGACGAACACAGTGCGTTGAGAACTAAAATCAAGTATGAAAAGGATGAATAGTAACTGGAAACATTTGGAAAGGAGATATTCATGACAGAGTTGAATGGAAAATACTGATGAGTAACCTATGCTACTCCTTGAGGGGTAACAGGCATGAGTAAGTAAGTAAGTAAGTAAGTAAGTAATAATCATTTTTATTTCAATAATACCGATTTTGACTTGATTTAAAACGGATCTGTAGTGAACGATAACACAGGCTGGGGACAACCAAACATATTTAAACATAGAACTACAGAATCTCTTAGTAAAATCTGAGGCTTACTTACTTACGCCTGTTACTCCTCATGGAGTAGCATAGACCAACACTCTCCATCCAACCCTATCCTCAACAATCCTTTCCAGTTCTTTCCAGATTTTATTCATCCTTTTCATATTTAATTCTATTTCCCGATGTGATGTGTTCTTTGGCCTTCTTCTTTTCCGTTTCCCTTCAGGATTTCAACTTAGGGCTTGCCTTGTGATGCATTTTGATGATTTGTGTAATGTACTCCTATCCATATGTTAGGGATGTGGTCTGTTAGGTTGGTATATTCCTCTGCATCCCTAACACCATATTCATCATCTTTTCCTAATTTCTTCTTTAGCTGGAAGCTGGTTTGTTCTATCCCAGAGAAGGCTGTTGCTGATGGTATCCGGCCAATTGATGTTGAGTATCTTGGGTAGACAACCATTTATAAATACTTGTACCTGCTTGATGATGACTGTAGATGGTTAAGAACCATACAGTAAATACTTCATTTGCAAAATATCCATCAGTTATCGCATACTTGATTATTCCTCTGTATTCACACCAATCATTCTTTGCTCTCATTCCCATGTCTTCAAATTTCTAAACCTTCTACCGCCATACATCTTACTTTCAATTGGTGTTACATACTATTTATATCTCTAAACATCAGTAGCACATACCACTGAGGTATGTTTAATTGTGAGGAGGTAGTTTGACAAGTGAATTGTTATACAAATATATAACTAATCAAATAGTTTGTTTCTATTTCACTTACTTTGATCATTTTGTGTTTGTTCTGTAGATTGACGAATTCTTGAATCTTTCACAACTAATAAATCATCAAAATAATATTGATAACCGACTGTTTATTTCAGTTACGTTTAACATATAGACTAACATAGACTAGTTTATGAGATGGTTGTAGCGATTTCTGAAGATTTGGAATTGTTTACGTAATCATTACTCTTGAACAAGTAAGTTGTAATCCATTTGTATTGGTTCTTAACCTCAGTCAATGGATTATATAAATCGATGAATGTCCTGTGTTATCAATGATAAAGTTATCTCTATTTTGGGGACCTTAGATCCCCAAAACTCATTTGAAGAAAGGCCTAATTTGTTTTCGTGCCAAAAGCTCTCTTTTCACCTTCATGTCGTATTTCCTACTTTGGAGAATCTTAAGTGCTGTTGGTCCGTTGTGTCTTTTAGTAAGCTATTTTTTTAACTCTCCGCAAGAACGTTTTTGTGCTGTGTATATATACGTTTTGATTTGTGCCTGTTTTTATCGCTCGTGCTTCTGACTTTTGCGGAATATACTTCCTCATTCGAAGCTTGGACTTATTCCTCTACTTAGCGGGTCTGAGACGTATCGAATAGCTAGCTTATTGGTCTTTGGTCACCGAGTCTTTGTTCCGTTTGCAGATTAAGTGAACTCGTAACCGCTTCAAACTTATCATTCTATTTTCAAACTTAATCGATCACAACTCTTTCAAAGGCACTTTGATTGTAGAAACTCATCTAAGATAATTCTACATGATCAAGTTAGCAGTGTACACTAATTTAATGAAATCGTCTATTGAATTATCCACATGTTCTGATACGTGTCACAACAGAATATTGAAAGAGTTTCATTATTTCAATACACGAGAGATTGCGCACTGAGAATAGAAGCTCAGTGATGAATTTACTAACATGGTACTACATATTAGAGATCAGGTGTAACTGAACCATTTTTTTAATCAGGCCGATAATCTTGGATGTGTTATACGAGGATTCTCTGTGAGAAACGTCTTTTGAAAAGATCACTTCAGACAATTTACAAGTATATCACCGGGATAATCTAGCTTGAACACAAGGTTTATGTATATAACTTTATTGCTATACCATATCACTGTTATCTATTTAAGATAAGTTGTGATAACTAACTAATTCTGTGTATATACCAATTCACTAGTTTCCATGGTGCTAGTTAAATCGGCCTCTTCCCGTATCTGTAATCAACTTTCAGGATAACTTAACAAAAGATAACATAGACAAGTTACATCATCTATTCTGCACCATGTTTAGGATAGACAGTCTTAGATTTCAATTTGCTAGAAAACTTGGGTACGTTTATATTTAACAATGAACCATATTGTCAAATAAATAATGAAACTTACATCCTGAACTATCCACACTTCGTGATTCTCTACAAGTATTAGGTTTTACTAAATCAATTCAAAAATATACAAAAAGAAGTGATAGTGATAATAATAAAACTTCTGTAAAACATTTGCAGAATTATAAGTAAATATGGATAGTAGCTAGCAGTGAACCTCAGTTTGACGTACGTTTCGTCCTATTTCAGGCTTGTCAGCTGGATGTACCTGAATCCCAGACTTTTCATTTTCACTCCGGGACTCGAACACACTGTTATTCACTTTAAACGTTATCACACTATGCAAATAAAACGAAACGCACATCCTGAATTCCACTGCTAAGCACTATCCATCTTTGTTTATAAAGCTTGCGAATTAAGGAAAAATCGAAGTAATAGGCACAGTATGCATATATGCCAATAAGACACTGGTCATTTTCACTGCTAAACATCAATGAGAAGATTCAAGTAAACAACAATACCGAGTGAGTGTAAACTTCATCCCAATCCATAAGTAATTAGCTATTAGGACTCAGTAGCTAATTGGATAACGCGATGGTGTTTGAAGCGAACGGAACTGGATTCGAGTCCCAGAGTAAACAACAACTCTGAGATGCAGGTACATCCGGCTAACCAGTCCCAATTAGGATGAAACGCGCGTCAAACTGGATTCCACTGTTATCCACAATCTATATTTGCTCATAATACTTGTAAATTAAGGTAATATCGAGGCAATCAGTACAGGATGCACATATGCCAATAAGAAGCTGATCAATTACATTCCTAAAAACCAATAGGAAGATTCAAGTAAGCAACAATACCATGTGAATATGCAGAGTTAATCTGCTAGTTAATGAATTTCGAATACATCACTCATTAAAAAGAAAATCAATCAGCTGCACTGTCGATAGAACAATCATGATTTTTATAAAGGAATCATAGTTAAGCAACCATCGGTAACTAGGGTTTATATCATATATGCACACTGTTCATTTAGGAGAACTCACACCCATAATAACCTAAATCAATCCTACACCATATAAGAATCCTTTTTTTCAGTTGAGCCAGTACATGATGAGAAATCTACTCAATGAGATGACTTTATTTAATTCTGCTTATGTTTGTAAAATTATACAGAGAAATAAACCAGTCGTAGTAAACTCATAGTTATAGTTATATAATATACCCTTGTGGGCTAGGGTAATTTTAGATTGGTTTTCAGGGGAACCAGACACCATCCAGACTCTCACATGACAACCCAAACAGTCCAGCTCAATCCCGCTTCACAGGAGAACCAGACACCATATAAGCTTTAACGTTACGATTTGAATAGTACAGCTCAATCCTGTGGCTCAACCACACAGGTATCAAGCACCCTGGTGGTTCATTCTTACCATTCTGTTATAACTTGTGACCGCCAATGAGAGAGCAGTGACTTATAGATCGGACCAATGACGCAGTTTAGAGTTCTGATTGGTCCTGCTCTCCGCCTAGCCCAGCCACCTAAGTCCAGGACACCAATCCAAGCCTCTGCGATATAAATCATGTATTACAAACATACTCGGTTAATATACCAATCCAACAGACCACAGCCTACCATAAAATAGGAAGTAACATTTGTACAATATTTGGCCAAAAGTGGATGTAAATGAGAGAGGCAGTGATTAATAGATAGGGAATAATTCAAGAATGGTAAATCGTATAATAACAGTTCATAGGTCAAAATCAAGTTCATAATAAGAGAGACATGAATCTATGTACTTTAGTTACTTAACAATTACACGATAAAAATATACGCATAGTATTGGTCCACAAATGGATCCCAAAATTACCATTCATTATTCTTGTCGGGACATAACACATTCATATACACATTCACATCACATGTATAGTTATTCCGATCAATGATCGCTTGAATCAATTATGCATAGTACGAACAGGCCAAAGTTGACCTATCCCGCTTACACGACAGTCAAGCACAAAAATTTTAGCAATGGCGACATGCCTTACAATGTCCCAATGGCAATGACCTTCGTGAACACTGAAAAGCAATCACCAGTACGGATGAAATCTGTTAACCAACAAACCAATTTTGTGCATGAACAGTCAGCAAAACTTGACAAAGCAATGCTGAACCATCCACAATATCAATGACGAACCTCCAGTCTCATATGAGACCTTCAGCTCTACATAGCCATGTAGCTTATTGTTCCGTAGTAAACTCATTTGAATTTATAATATTAAAACACTGATATCTTGTTTTTGATGCATCAATAGAAATATTACATAATAAATCAATAAAGATATTCGTTAGTCCCTCACAACTCATACTTCTTTTTTTTAAATTTTATGATCGATTATGTTCACATTTTATCAATAAAGGATTATGGAGATTTGATTAAGATCATGAATCGATCATCAATATTGGACACGACAAATGAAAACCTGGAAGCATTGGACGACTGTTTCGTCCTAATATGAGACTCTGTGGTGGTTTACATGCATGATTTACATTCGTGATATTTAGCTAATGTTTATATAAACGTAAGCTACTAGTACTTGATCAAAGATGTCTTAGAAGTATTGCTCACATCTACTGGGATCACCGAGTAAGTAATAGTGAGGTTAGACACTGGATATTAGGGAATGATGATGGTAAGTCAGTTGATCAGGTTGTAAATCTCCATCGACTGAGATCGTTGGGCCACGTGTTACGTATGCCTGAACACCGATTACCACGACATACAACGCTGACTGGTGTTAAGGATGGTTGGAAGAAAGTTAGGGGTTGCCAAACCGAAACGTGGTATCAGTGCTTGAGGTCACTAACTTCTAGTCTGAGTCATGTTGGTGATGGATGAAGACTAGTTGGTTGTGGTCCATGTGACTATCGTAACCGATGGTTGAAGACTCTAGGTGATATAGCTCAGAGTCGATCACAATCGCATAGGTGTATGCACTGTCTGTCTTCCCTTAAACACTGAGATTAAAATCACTTGATATCTTTCTTTCTAGGAAATAATTCTTTCTTCCTGTACTATATCCTCAAATGCAATCTTTCTTTTATATACTACTATTATTGAATTAACTACTTGTATGAATTTGATATTAGTCTTGTTGTGCTAATGAGGTAATGGGAACTTGGACCGATGCATATATACTGCTGGTCCTACGTTGTAGCTGACTGACTGATTGACTCTAAATTCAACTATTCATTCATGATATTCAATAATAGAAATAATCTTATTGTTTAAACAATCTTATTATTAAATCAATGCTTAAACTCTATTTATCCGACTGACTGACTGAATGAATGAATGGAGGTCGCTCCGAAATCCGACACCTGTTATCTTATACCTAATTACTTCATCCATAAATTATAGTCTTGCCTTCATTTCAACTGAAGGGCTACCTTTAAAAAAGGCTTAGATTGTAAACTGTCTTTAAAGATTTCTTAAATATTGACTAGAATTCATTGAATAGAATGATGAATATACTGATTGTTAGATTGAGTCATGTAAGTAGATGAAGAGTCTATATGATCATGATTACTACTAAAAAGTTAAAGATTTCGAATGTAATGACTCAAAATTGTTTGAAATAACAAGTGTGTATTCCCACTTCGTCTTGTCTTAGATTCATCATAAAGTTTTTTTGTTATTATTTCACTATTTTTTTTATAGTAACTCCCCCCTCAGCTCTTCTAGAGTTAGTGCCGGTCTTAAGCCCGGGTTAAGGGAGAGGCCCTGGGTTCGAGTCCCACGAGCGGGATCGTGGATGCACACTGCTGAGGAGTCCCACAATAGGACGAAACGCCCTTCCAGTGCTTCAAGGTTTCCAAAGATGCTCTAACATCAATCGATTTATGATCTCAATCAAAAACTTAATAATCTCCACAACCCCTGTTCTAGTAAAGGGTCAGGGTTAGGCATGAGGTCAAGAACCCCATCTCGTAGAAAAAAATCTTGTTAAAAAAAACTCCAATCAGATTTAACAAGTCATTTTTATAGTCTCTGATTGTATTTTAGATGCCTAATACTTTCTATTAAGTAAACTACTGTGGGATTTACCCTACCATGTTCATTACTCTATACTAATGAGGTAATGATAACTTGAACCTGTGTAAATACGTACCAGGTTCTATGTTGTATTTCATTAATTTTTCTCAATTCTATAATTTATAGACATATCAATCAGATTTCGACGCAAAATTCACTCATTCATTTGATTAAACAACGCTTTGACATTTTAACTGATGTCACTTCATGATGCAAACCTTTAAACCTAACTATCAACTGTAAATCACATTCTTTATTCTTCACACAGGTTCATAATCGTCATTTAGATCTAGTAATTAAGTGGACATTCTCAAAGTCACTTTAACATCTTGAGATGGTGGAGAAGATTGGTAGTTCAGTTGGATGATTTTGGTGGAGTTTTGTTCTCTGAGCTAGATGGTTTGGTCGTGGAGCTTTCATCGTTCTTCTGAACGACAACATCAACTCAGAGAACAAAACTTCACCAAAATCACTTTAGCATCGCTCATATATGGTGCATAAATTATAGTCTCAATCATAAATCAATAATTTCGAATCTACATGCTGAAATCAATAATACATTATTTATTTATTTGAACACATAAATATTGGTACAAAGGACCACCGAATACGTATGCATCAAACATTTGTATGTAGGCTGTGATACTGCCTGGTAGCGCAGACCGAGTCACACTCGGAACTTTCAATCTAAAAGTTCAATCCACAAGGTAGTGGAGTAATGTAAGGAGATTCAGTCTCATGGTATCCGGTTCAAATGCCATTTGTTTCCTTGGAATCCTAGAACCCATGTACATCAATGGTTTAGAATCAATGTTTTCCTACTGCCCTAGATGGATCCACCAAACCGGATATTCGTTTTTCATCCTCACAATTTCTTAAACAAAACCCTTTTCGTGAGAAGGCTGTGATTAAGATTTCTTTGGCAGTGGTTACGTACGTATGACCATGTGAAATCATTTCAAGAGAGAGAGAGAAAGAGAGAGAGAGAGAGAGCGCTAACTCTCCTTACCCTTGGCCGTAACCAGAGTATTTAAGGGTTATCTATAATACAACTGATTACAACATATCATGTAACTTACTTTTACGTGTTTTCCTTCGAACAACTCTTACTTCTGTATCTCCTTCACCTTGTATATTTTCTTCTATTTCTGTAATTAATTGATTAGTATTTAAATCAGTATATGATCTTGTTCTAGATGTGATATATTGAATTTCACCAGTAATAGGATCAATTTGTTTAGTTTTATTTACTTCATTATTTATACAAGATGGTAATGGTGATATACGTGAATGGATTGGTGACATAGATCGACCATTTAAACGTATAATTGGGGATCTTAATGGACGTGGTGGTAAACCAATTGATGATTTTTTATGATTTCTTAATATAACATCATCATCCTCATGATTATGAATAGGTTTAATAAGGATATTTCTTTCGATAGTAGGACTACATGGTGTACTATGTATAATACGTTGATGATTCAATTTATTTGAATAATTAGGTAATTGTTCATTGAATTGAGTTAATGGTTTATTCATTTTATTCCATATTGATTTTTGTTCAGTAAATAGATTTTCTTTATAATTTGGTTGAATGATTTCATTGAATTTATTGATAGTAGTTAATTGATTAATCTTTTCAATCAATGGTATAGTTATTGTTGTTGGGGGTAGTGGTGGTAGTGGTGGTGATAAGGGTCGAAGTTGAGATTGAGATTGGAATTGGGATGGTGGTGGTGGTGGTGTTTTGATTGATATAGGTGATGATAAAATTGGTGTAAATCTACGAGATCCATCATGAACAGTCCAATCTTCATCATGATCAGGATTTTTGTTTAGATTGAATTTATTAGATTTTTTTATGGTTTTAAATGATTCAGTGTTCATTTCTTATTTGATTTGATGTAGAAGAAGAAAATAAAGAAATAGTACAGTTTAAGTTATGTAATTAATAGAAAACAATTGAACTTATGAATGAATAAATAGTAGACAATCATGGGAAGTCTAGCAACATTGGACGATTGTTTCGTCCTAGTATGTAGTTCCTCAGTAGTGCTCATACATGATCATGCATGCGGGAATCCGACCAAGGATCTTCATTTTCGTATGGGAACGTTTAACCTCTAAAAACATAGAGTCAGCATGCAACCGTGTTAATGTTTAACTTCAACCAGTTCACGAAATTGCGTCACGATCCATCATTGTCTTCAGCGAGTTACTATCTCATAACAGATCCTGTTGAAATTCACTGGTCATGGCTTTTGATTAGAACTTCAGGAAATACCTCTTGAAGCCTGTCATTTCTAGGGTGTCCCATGCCAGATTCATGCCGATTTTGTTCCTACAGAACCCCATATGCCCTGGTACAACCGAGGTTGGGGAAAGTCAGTCCTCAGTCTCCAAATGCTCTTACATGACCACGTGCATAAAACCACTACCAAGGAGATTTTACTCACTGCCTCTTTCAGGTTTATGCGTTATTTACGAAATTGAGAGGACGAAAAGCGAATGCCGGCGATTTAACTGGGTTGGTGGATACGGAAGATTCACCGAGGAAAGTTGAAAACCCGTGATTCAAAACCAATGATACACATGATTTCCAGTATCCTTAAGGAACAAATGACGTACGAACCTATTGTTGGTCACCGGATACTATGGGATTGCATCTCCTTACGACGTTCCACTACCTTGTGGCTCAGACCTTTAGGTCGAAGACTCCGGGTGTGGACCCTAAGAAAACCACCTGGTTCGGTTCGGGCACCCAGGCAGTATCACAGCCCTCACGCATATCAAATGAGATCTGTGTGGCGCATATGTTTTGGTGCCTCATTGTACCAATATCTATGTGTTAAAATAGAAATAATAATAAACTTTGTTATTTATTGGTAAAAGAAGGGCATCGAATGCACAAATCACTTCATTTGTGGGCGGGTTTTGATACTGCCCGGGTGCCGAAACCAAAGCGGGTGGTTTTCTTAGGGAGCCACAACCGGAGCCTTTGACTTAAAGGCCTAATCCACATGACAGTGGAGCAGCGTAAGGAGATGCAATCCCATTGTAGCCGGTGACCAACAATAGGTTCGTACGTCACTTGTTCCTTTAGGATTCAAGTTTAGAATCAGGGTTTTTCAACTCTCCTACGTGGTCCCACCGTGTCCATTATCCCGGTTAATTCGCCGGACATTCACTTGTCGTCCTCTCAATTTCGTAAACAACACCCCCTTTGTAAAAAGGCCGTGAGTAGCCATGTGAGAGCATTTTGAAAGTGTGAGCTGACTCTCCCTACCCTCAACCGTACCAGGGCATCTAACTGGCGATCACTCAATATGTTATCGTCATTATCGGTCAAGAAATAAGAAACGGAAACTTGTTGAAATGCTTCGTACTGAGAATTCTATATTGTACCCAAATTATAATATTGAATAAACCCAATAATAATAATATCAATATAATTATCATATATTCATGAGTGCATAGTTTTGAGAGAATTGTCTGTAAAGTATCGTAGAAAGCTGTCATTTATATAAATAACCATACCAATATTAAGATAATGAATATAAGAATTAATGATCACTATAGTCTATCACGAACTCTGCCTGGGCCCCCTCTGGGGCTATATCATGTGAAATTAAGTCAATTTGCAAAAACATGAATCATTAGTTTTTGATCTATTCATCGAATGGTATTACATTCATGGTTAAACTCCAAGATCAATCATCTAAATTGAACTAGATTAAGTTCAGTGGTGAGATTGATTTATGAACGACCTTTGAGCGACGCTAGACTGACCTTGAGAGTGTCCACTGCATAACCAGGACCAAATGAGGATTATGAACCTGTGTAAGGAATTAAGCTTAGGAATTAGATTTCGTGTTTTCATCACGAACTAACATTAGCTAGAATGTCAAAACTTTATTTATCCAAATAGATGAGTGAATTTCGCGCCAAGATTCGAGACCTATTATCTTATACACCTGATTGATTCATCTATAAATGATAGTCTTACCGATGTATATATTAAAACAAACAAGAAAATCGATATTTTATTAAAATATTTAGATGGTAGGTACAGGCAACCCAGATATTCAAGAAGACCGTCAAGTAACCACGTAAATGAATTTATATCAAGATATCTTTTCCACGTATCCTTGATGTTCTGACGATTGATTTCAGTCTTTGTTGAAAACTGTTATTGATTCATTCATCTCATTGTAATCAATGCTTGATTACTGTAGTCAATTATACCTTATATATATATATATATGTCATATAGATGAATGTATAATGAGTTTTTGTTCTCAAATTATCACTGAAAATGTTTGTTTGTTTGTTTGTTTCGATGATTGAACGTAACATTTGTATATCAGTTAATTGATTTGCATAATATTGAAAAAAATTGTAAATTGAAATTTAATTACCATAGTAATTGAGATTGAGATCATGTGTCGATCAATGTTAGATCACCATTGGAAACTTGGAATCACTGGATACATGTTTCGTCCTAGTATAGGACTCCTCAAGAGTGAACATCTATGGTCACGTATTTGGGATTCGAACCCCAGATCTTTGATCTTGTGTGTGAACGTCTAACCTCTAGACAACTTAGCTGGTGTCCAGTGGTGTTAGTGTCTAATTTCAACCAATTCAAGATTTTGCGTAACCATCTTCCATTGTCTTTAGTGGGTAACTGCCTTACAGCCGACATAATTGAACTCTGTTAGTCATGGCTTCTCACTAGAACTCCAAGAATTACTTCTCGAGGCCAGTCGCTGGTGAGCACATGATCTCAGTTAAAACTCATCAATCTCCACAACGCTATGCTGATAATAATTGATATATTGTGTGTTATGCATTGTATTTGTTTTTCCTTATGATAAGATTTATTCTAGTCTAATATTATATAATATGTTCGTCTGATAAAAATCTGTTTAATGAGATTGTTTTGCAAGTTAGGAATGAATCCACTTGGTATAGTTTACTTGAATCATCGCCCCCAAATGCTCTGTTACGGTCGGGGGTGGGGAGAGTTAGATCTTCCTCCCCAAATGCTCTCATATGGTCATGTGTATACAGCCACTCCAAAGGAAGTCCTACCCACTGCTTTCTCTAAAACGCGGTGTTGTTTACGAAACTGAGAGGACGAACAAAGAATATTCGGCGATTTAACCGGGTTGGTGAATACGGAAGATCCACCTAGAGGAGTTAGAAAACCCAGATTCTAAACCAATCATCTCCAAAATCCTGAAAGAACAAGTAGAGTGTGAACTAATCGTTGATCACCAGCTACAATGGTGTTGCATCTCCTAACGTTGCTCCACTGCCTTGTGGATTAAACCTTTAGGTTAATGGCTCCGAGAGTGGCGCCCTAAGAAAACAATCTTCTTCAGTCTGAGCACCCAAACAGTATTATAGCCCACATACAAATGAAGTGACTTGTGTGGCGCCTATGTACCCGATACCCTTTTTTACCAATATACGTAATGTCCGTTGGCCGGACACCATCAGCAACATCCCTTTGTGGGAGGGAACAAACCAGCTTCTAGTTGAGGGGGAGATTAGAAAAGACGTTGAAAGTGGATAAGACATACATTAAGAAAATCATCAAACTGCATCTCGAGGTAAACGCTAACTTGGAATCTTGAATGGAAACGGAAAAGAAGGAGACCAAATGATACACTATGTCGGGAATCGGAAGCAGACATGGGAAGCATGAATAACAACTAGAAAGAATTGGAAAGTAAATATCCATGACAAAGTTGGATGGAGGATGCCGGTGCTCCTCCATAAATGGTAACAGACAATGATGATAGTTAACCTCAATGTTGATTATTTCCTAATTTGGTTTAGTGTACAGTATTATCATTTGTATGAAATTTTATTAAAACATAGAAATTGAAAAAGGAATTAAGAGTATTTGTATTATAATAACCTACCATTTTCAACAAGAACATCATCCAGTTTCTGCATATATGAAGGAGGATTAAGTTTTGGATTCATTTCTAAAAAAAAGAAAACGAAATATGTGAATAGATTATAATGACAGTGATTACTAAGAAGTTATCAACAATGACATTGTTTAATTCATTTGAATTGTGAGCAGTTTATCGTAAGCAACATAAAACCTGGAGCCGCCAAATGCCCTAGTATGGTCGAAGGTACGGAGAATTAGCCCTCCCTCAATAAATGCTCTCACATGGCCACGTGTCTACAATCACTACCAGGGAAGTCCTACTCACTGTTTTCTCTCTGCAGGTGTTCTTTGCGAAATTGAAAGGATAAAAAGAGAATGTCCAGCGATTTAACCGGGATGGTGGATATGAAGGGTCCATCTACGAGTGTTGGAAAACCTTGATTCCAAACCAATCGTTCACATGAGCTTCAGGATCCTAAGGAAACAAATGTCGTATGAACCTATTGTTGGTCACCGGCTACCATGAGACGTTGCTTCACTGCAATGTGGATCAGGCCTTTAGGCTGAAGGCTCCAAGTGTGACTCCCTAAGAGAACTACCTGTTTCAGTTTGGGCACCCGGACAGTTTCCAAGCCCTCATACAAACCGAATGATATTTGTGGTGCATATCTATTTCGTACCTCCCTATACTAATGTTTGTGTGTTTAAATAAATGAACAAATGTAAGAATAAAACGTGAATTCATATGTTCATCGGTTTAAGTCGTAACATCATATTAGTACAACGAATTGAAACTATGTAAACAAATTCCATGAAAGTAGAAAGGATTGAACATAGAAAATATGATACAAAATGTATGGATTTTGGGACATAAAAGTGTAAATTAATTTTGAAACTGGAGATCTTTGGAGGAAAAACCTTCAATGTATCTATACCATTGTGACTAGTTCTGAATCGGTGAGGTCCCCAACCAGTTATTCTGCATCCATAAACATGAATAAGCCCAACAGTTAGCAGTTTTCTTAACTGATAACACGTTTTAATTTGGTTATCACTACGTTTCTTCTAATCTACTGCTGTATCAGACAAAAGCGCTTATCAAAGCAGACGGTTTCTGGGTTTGTGTAATGCATGTTTGAACCAACTCATGTGATAAAGAATAATTAGCTCATCATCAGTTTTACCATCTACATCTAGTAATCTATTTTTAACCTCAGGATTGTTTTCAGTACAGACTGAAATCAACTGAAGAATCATTGAAAACCAAACAGGAATACAGAGTATATCATGTACTAGTTTGTGACCTAACAGTACTCATCCATAACCCTATCCGAGATAAGCCTCAAGAATTTCATATGGAGAAAGCAACATTCTGACCATTGATTAGTTCAAGTTTTCAATTTTGGTTAACTCAGTTCCAATGTGATTAAACTCCGATGGTCACTAGGTTTACCTAGTAATTCAATAGCTTATCTTAACATCTATCACTGGTGAATCCATGAATATAATTTACTTAAATAGATTCTGAAACTTTGTTCACTATGAAATACTTCTTGAAATAATAATGGATTTACAATGTTCTGAAAACATCACAACACACTATACAATCTATGACGTGTGTGTGCTAATGATGTTGACAGATATAAGTAATATGTCAGTCAGTCAGCTACAACGTAGGACCAGGCACATATATTCATCGGTCCAAGTTCTCATACCTCATTAGCACAACAGGACTAATATCAAATTCATACAAGTAGTTAATTCAATAGTAGTAGTATATAAAAGAAAGATTACATTTGAGGATAAAGTACGGGAAGAATGAATTAGTTAGTAGAAAGAAAGATATCAAGCGATTTTAATCTCAGTGTTTAAGGGAAGACAGAGAATGTATACACCTATGCGATTGTGATCGATTCTGAGCTATATCACCTAGAGTCTTCAACCATCGGTTACGATAGTCACATGGACCACAAACAACTAGTCTTCATCTATCACCAACATGACTCAGACTAGAAGTTAGTGACCTCAAGCACTGATACCACGTTTTGGTTCGGCCACCCCTAACCTTCTTCCAATCATGTCCAACACCAGTTAGCATTGCACGTCGTGGTAATCGGTGTTCAGGCATACGTAACACGTGGCCCAACCATCTTAGTCGATGAATATTTACAACCTGATCAACTGATTTACCATCATCATTCCCTAATACCCTGCGTCTAACCTCACTATTGTTTACCCGGTGATTCCAGCAGATGTTAACTATATTTCTAAGACATCTGTGGTCAAATACTAGCAACTTACAATTATCTTCTACTCTTAATGACAACGTTTTGCGGCCGTATTAACATAGCACCAATAAAACTATTCGATTAACCTACAAACATACTTGATTAGTTAAACTTAAGAAGAATGATGTATATTATTCTAAGAAACTCATTATAAGATTAATGACTTCAATTGAATAACGTGACAATATTCATCTTCTTTTTTTTCTAAATTTAAGATAGAATACTCTCTAATAGAAATGTTTATTTGAATACCTACTTCATATGACAGTCTCATATTATGTTATCAACACTTACCGAGATTATCTCTCATAGTTACTATTACGTAATCTACGGATAATTGATTATCTTTGGACTTTAGAATTACTCTATTCACATCAATATTTCTTAAAGAAATCTACATATATAACGTTAATATTCCATTTGAACTAGTTTGCATCATTGTATCCTTGATAGTTTCGACTAAAATTTGATCAGTTTTGGTTACAGATTGACTGGATAACACAACCATTATGATATAAGCTGATATCGAATAGACAGAATGTGGTTAGTAGGGGTATGTAGGATGAGAGTTTTTTCCTGTTCAGGTCACAGAGTGAACATCAACTCTATTGTATACAGGTATTTCTAGTTGACGTGTCCAGACTAGAACGAAACGTGTATTCGGGATTCTACTGCCGGTCACATTCCAACTATTGTATGTTAACTTACTATCAATCAACTCGCTAGATTTTATTTGGTGTTAACTTTATCTTATCCATGGTAAAGTGTATTTGATAATCATCTGGTTAATCACTAATTTCTAGTTGAGTAACTGATATTCTTGTGGGAAGTCTTGACTAGTAGTGTTCACATATATTTATGGTGAAAACGCTGTCTTTAGTGGCATAACACGATCGTTTCTAATAGTTAGACATTCTCTTAAAGACTTGAAGGTTATGGATTCATACTGATAAAGAGATATCCACTACGACGGAGCAAGTATTAAAATTACTATAATATCCACAAGACCGCTTCTGATATTAATCAACATACGCTCATATGTTCAAGTTGTATTTCCTGGAATTTTAGTGAGAAGTAGTGACCAGTAGAGTTCAACCGGGATTGTTGTAAGATAGTAAATCACTGAAGACAATGGTGGATGTGTCACTCAATTTCGTCGATTAGTTGAAGTTATACATTAACACCATTGGATGCGAGTCAGCTCAATGATCTAAAGGTTAACCACTTGCGCATAAGACCGATACGTCATGGGTTCGAATCTCGCAATGCGAGATCTCGGATACCCATTGATGAGAAGTCTCACAGCAGGATCAAACGACTGTCCAGTGTTTCCAAGTTTTCCGTGGTGGTCTATCTTCATTCACTTCACTCATGATCTCAACTATTAAAACATTTAAAAAGATTATATCAGTAGAAAATGAACTTGAATGTATCATTTACTGTATCCAGTCAGTAGAATGAGAGACCATCAGTTCAAGTGTTATAGAGTCGTATCATCACAATAGAACGGAACACATTAAGATACATAGTGAGTAATATATTGTTTTGGATTTAATGACAATACCTTTCCTTTCTTTAAAAAAACTAATCTATCCTTCAGATGGGGTTTTTTGGATATTATAGTAATTTTAATAGTTAACCTATCAAACTGATAGGTCCTGAGTTCGAATCTCACGAGGCAGAATCGTGGATGTGCACTCCTGAGGAGTCCCACAATAGGACGAAACGGTCATCCAATGCTTTCAGGTTTTTCATGGTGGACTCATGATCTCAACTATTAAAATTATTCTATCCCTGTACAGAGGTTCACATAATTCATGTGAATTATGAGATGGTAGAGAAGATTTATAGCTCCGGTGATGATCGTGGAGCTTTCATTGTTCTTCTGATGATGTCGTTTCGAAGAACGATGAAAGCTACACGACTAAACCATCCAGCTCAGAGAATAAACCTCCATCAATAAGTGAATAGTAAAAAGAAACATTAGCCAAGAATTTATAATACTCTAAATAACCTTTTAAACTTTTCTCTTTTTTTGGTACAGCATAGATCTATAGATAGATGGAATCCATCGTTCCAAATGAGGCCAATGAAATCATGTGATATAATTCAACTATATATTAATTAAATGTTTTGGCAAATGTCAATGATTGTTGATTAGCATAGATACTACTTCATATGCCTGTACCTTCGCTCTTTCTTTCACTCACTCACTCACTCACTCACTCACTCACTCACTCACTCACTTGAAATACAACATAATAACTAAGTGCTATATATAAAATGATCCCTATAAGAAATGATATATTGAAGAGTAAGTGAAGCAAAAAAAGAGACCGTTTACTTATCAAATATTACACAAAGCTATATACTGATTTACTTGATGTGAAATGTAAACACAAGATTAACATAAGTGAAGATAGATGGTAGTTAATAGTGGAATACAGGACACATGTTTCATCCTATTTGAGATTCGTCAGTTGGATGTATTTGCGTCTCAAATTTGTTGTGGTTTACTTGAATCCAGTAACGTTTGCTTAAAACACCATCGTGTTATCCACTTAGCTGATGAGTCCCTGAGTGAACATCAATTCTGAGATCTAGGTATATACAGCTGATAAGTATCAAATAGGATGAAACGCATGTCAAACTAGATTCCACTACTAGCTACTATCCATCTTTGCTTATAATGCTTGTGACTTGAGACAATATCGAGGCAATACACACAGTATGCATATATACCAATATGAGTGAGACTGATCAATTGTAATCCTAAACAATTATGGGAAGATACAAGTAA